AAGTTTGATGAACTAAAAATGGATTTTGTCATTTAGAAGCAGTTTGGGGTATTAACAAAAGCAAAAATTGGTTGCAAATAAACTAGTAAAAACTATGCCTTTTCTCAAACATGTTAAGTCTTTGCTCTGTAAGTAAAAATAGGGACATAAAAAGATACTTTGAGACAACAAGTCCTTGTTTAAGGAGTTAAAAGTGAGTGCTGGGGTTGCAAATGACTGAAGTGGTCATCAGCAGTCATGAAAGAGATGGATCTGCAATCTAGGTTCTTCACTATCCAAGCTCATGGTCTCCCTTCTACTTATGGCATATACCATCTACTTCCAGAAAGAATCTTAGGCATCTTATAAAATCCATCTGCAAAATAATTGTTAAAATTTAAAAAAGCTATGTTAGGGACAGGAGATAACTGAATGAGGAACTATACTAAGGATAATTATTACCATCCTATCCCTAAATTTATCACAGAGTTTCCTCGCAGTCAGACAAAAATGAGAAATCCACATGAGTTATTCTCATGGTCTAGTAAGAGGGAACATGAGACATACAAGTATTCTACAAAAGCAGACTTTCCTCCAGGCTTAAACTGCTTATTGCACAGAAAATGTTCTGAGAAGGCAGGTTTGAGTCAAATACTCAGTTGATGTACTACATTTGCAAGGCAGATGAGGACAGAGAGTGAGTTTTGGATCAGGAAAGGGTTGACAGATGGCTTTGCTACCGCTTGTGAAGAGAGGCTATTTTCTGGTAGTGCTATCATGATGGGTTCCTTCAGGATTAATGAAATATTTTGACCAACTAGTGAAATTACACATGTGCTTTGACCAAAGAGTATCCAACATGATTTTGAATGAACTGGGCATGTTGGGTACAACATCTTGGGTTCTGGAGAGTGAAACTAGGATGAGCTACAATACAAGGTGGAGCAGGAGCGGGTGGTCACCCCCAGTGAGATGTCCTGTGTTCAATTCATTGAGAAGTTGTACTGAGATGTAACTTTAAACAACTCTACCTCATTCTAAATTGGAATTTGAGCTTCCTAAACCCAATTATTACCCTGTCTCCCTTGCTTCTAGACTCATAATATGGTGTTCTGACATGGATTTTTAGTTGTCTGGAATCTATGTTGAAAAAAGAATACATCTTGGCCTACACTTGCTTTCTCACTACAATATCGAAAATTTATGGATTAATGCTGTGAAAATTTATGGGGAAAGGTTAAGAACCCCTTAAGGTGAAATAAAATAGCACAAAGTTCAGTGCTGCAGCAAAGCTACCTATCCCCCATGTGAGCTCAAGGGATTCAGATACCCAGAGGTGAAACCAAAACAGTATTTTTGAGGAGATAGCCAAGAGTCACTTATCTCTTTAAAAACTATGAGGAACTTTCTGTGATTTTTACCTTGTGAGAACAATACATGAATTGTGGATTAGGACAAAAAAATTGGCAAAGCTTGGAGTCTTACCACCCTAACTTGCTAAGAGCCCTATTCCCTACAGTGTTTCCATAATGACATACCAGACCAGGCCCATGGAGAAAGGCTGCATTTATGTGGTTGGAACTGTTTTGCTTGGCAAAGAAGATACTCTGCATATTCTGCTTTTTAGATACCATGTTTTAAAAATATTGTTTGCATTTGTTTGTATAGAATAGAACACACATTAAATATAGACACACTCAATTAAATCTTAATTATAAAATGGTAAACACAGTGCAGCCCCGGCAACTGTGAATAAATAAGAGCTGCAGAGAAAAAAACACAAAACCTGACATCATGAGGCATGAGCTCATTTAATGTAGCTCAAGCTTATGTGTACCTAACCATATCCAGACACCTGGGGCTGCCTTATATATAGAATTTTGACAAATGCTGATATTTTGGCTTCAGTTTTAATTAGCCTGGGGTTATATTTGCTTAATGTAATAAAATAAATTTTAAAAAAATATATCTTTTTTCTCACAAGGTAAAAGGATTTTTCAGCTCTTTGAAAGAAAATGGTTCTCAGCTTCGTTGTGTCCAACAAACAATTGAAACCATCGAGGAAAACATACGTTGGATGGATAAAAATTTTGATAAAATCAGAGTGTGGCTGCAAAATGAAAAGCTTGACCTGCTGTAACAATTCATTTCTTGCCAAGTTCCTATGATCTATAATCACCAGAATTTTGTTGAATGTGAATGTTTTCAAATAGCAATGGTCATTTTGGCTCCAGCTGAAGATACTTCCTTTCCCCCTCAACTCTCTGCATTTGAGCATTTCACCCAACAGACAGCAATTAGTTTTTTCATCAATGGACTGTGGCTGCTATTTACAGGTGCCTTACGATGTAAACCCAAGTGGTGAGTTCCCTACCACAGAGTAAAGGACCTGATTCTTTTTGTTTTATATTTTATGCTTAAGCCATGCAGTGTCCAAACCCCTGTGCCCCATGTGTCTGTCATAAGCTGGCTCATTAATGTCCTTGTTAAGATGTAATAGTGAATACTGAACAATGAACACTGGATGAATAATTAAGGCAGAAATAGCTATGCTGGAGCTCTCCCCGTTGACCCTTCCAGATATGTTGTTCACTCTTTCTTCCCACTTCAGGTCCAGGTGCTGATGTGTAGGGCCCAAGTCATCAGGCTTCCTTGTCCTCTGAATTTAGTCAATGGCAAGCCCATGAGTTTGGAGCTGGGGTTGGGTGAGGAGAAGGTGCAAATATTTATTCCTTTGCAGGCTGCCGCAGACTGCTCTCCAACAAAGGCCATAGCTCTTGGGAGGTGGCCCTTTTTTCCACAGTCTTCTCCATCTCTGGATTCTGTGATCCTTTCTGCACTAGGAAATGCAATGGGAGCCTGGCACTACCAGTCCTGGAGATTGTGATTTTCACACATGCTGCCCACATCTTCGTAAAACATCCTTGTTTAGAACCCTCCTCAGATTATTCTGAATGTCAACTATTTTCTCAGGAACTCTGATAGAGTATCCCTTCTGGAAAAAAGTATAGAGTGCATTCAGGTCCATAGGACACACCTTTCATTTGCTCTGGAGAGCTGTTGATTCTTAGGTAGAGAGGTGATGATTTCTCCTTCTGCTCCTCATTTGATATAGTTTTTAATTCCCAAATAATACATCATTGGCATTTATTGCCAATAAATCATTGTAGAGTCAAAAATATATGTTAATACACTGGGAACCCAAAATTATTTGCTTATTTTAGGCTAAATAAAGACAATGTATTATTTGGTTTTGGAGACTTACATGTGAATTTTTGAATATATGACATTTTTTAATATATTGCATATTTCAAGATAAAGGCATATGATAGTCACAAAAAATGTTAAAATATGTTGCTCTAATACACTATGGAATACAGTGACTCTTGGAAATAAATGTGTTTACTATTTCATTTTATATCTATTGGATGGTTGATGTTTTAAGAATTAAAAAAATTTAAAAACTCACTGGTAATATCTCCCTAGACTAATTTACTTCTAACAATAATACAAAGCCACAATTTTAATGTAAAATATTTTGCTTTAATGATGTTTTATTTCTTGATTAATGAAACACAGAAATATTGATTTTCAATTTTGGTCACTTGAGGAAACGATCTACTTTGGAAAAACTGATTTTCTAAACAGATACAATATTGCCACAACAATGTGTGGAAACCTTTTTGGTAATAAAAATATTTGTCTGTTCTTTACTTCTGAGTGGATATTTGCAATCATTTTCTCCTGACTAGATTTTTTTTTAAAAAAGAACTGCTTTAGATCCCATTCTTTCTCAAGTCATTGTGAATTACTAGCAAACATTCAAGTTTAAAGAAATTTATAATAAAAAAAGGTATATTCCCAAGCATCTCAAATGAATGCTTACTTTTCTAGGCATTCTTAAACCTGTGGATCTTTCTATATCATTTAAAAATATCTCTCTATATTCATGGAAATTAGTAATAGTGCAACCATATCCTTGCACACAAAATGTCAGTGGTCAAAGATTTCAGTCTTTTTAAAAATGAACAAAAAGAGCAATACCTAATACTGCCCAAATAGGAGAATTAGGTACATAGTTAAAGTTCATCAAGAAAAGTGTTTTTTTCCTTTTCTTGTTAATGGTTTGAATGTAGAATCATGACTACTTTTCTGATGGGACAGAGACTTGTTTTAAGTAGTGAGGTTTGAAATCCTATAGATATGTGCCTGATTTGTAGAGAATCCTTTTAGAAAGTGTTAACAAATTCAAGGCCCATTATATGCAGTGTTATTGTTACTTGTCCTCACCCCCATTAGACAGCACTGGTCAGATTATATTCATGTTTAAGTGAAGTTAGTGAAGTTCTAACAAAAATTTTAAATTGATTTTAAGGAAGGCTGTGCTCTCTAGAAACAAGAAATTCCAATCTGTTTTATTATATGTATTTGACATCTTTTCCTGCATCCACTGCCAGGAAATAAAGATGAAATTAATTATTTATCAAAATCCATCAATGATATCAGTGCAATGCTCATAAACTATTCATTCAGAAAGATATGAGAAACCACTCAAAGTTGTAGGACATCAGAGTTTAGTTCCTGAATTACTGTGGGGGAAGATCAGATTTTAGATTTTAGTGTACATATATACATATGTGTGTATATTTTTTGCTTTTATTTTAAAGCAAAACTTTATTTTTGTATTTAGAAAACTAAACTTTTATAAAGCCAGATGCAATACAGTGCAAAGACTAATGTGATAAATGGCTCTAAGCAAACAATTGCTGTTTAGGCTTTATGTAGAGATAGTAGAAAATACAGTTTAATAACATGCTATACCAACAAAATTCAAGCCATATGAATATTAAATGTTCTTGTTCTTGAAGGATTAAATGTTCTTGTTCTTGAAGCTTACTACACATCATCTAGCGTGTGTCTTAATCTTGCTGACTTGATTAAAGTCTCAGTGAGTTTTCTCTGACTATAAGGTACAGAAGTCCTCACCCCTGGAAATGAAGAGTTCAAACTGAAAAGGAGGATTGGTGCTTCCTGGTTTGTCCAGGTTACATAGTATTCATTTATTATTAGCAGCCCAAGAGGAGATATGTGCCCAATGTACAATATTTTATGTTTGACCTACAAACATTAACCCAAAGAAACATCAAACACAGTTCTGAAGCCCAAGAGAAAAGAGGTAAATAAGAAATCAGAACATTGATAAATGTTTGTTTAAAGCTTTGTTTTCCAAATGCTAAAAAAATATAATAATAAGTGCAAACTGAAAATGCTAATGAGATTTACAGGCACTGTGTTAGAATGTGCAAAGTATGCAAGATTTTTCTTTCTATTTTTCTTTGGGGGGGTATTTAAGAAATTTTATCAAATATATTTCTTACAAATATAAAGCTTCCTTTCTCTCCCAACTGAAGGCAATTTAAAAAAAATTAAAAGTTCATCAACACTCAGTACAATAACACAGGTGAATCAGACAAATTCATTTTCTTTCTGGAAAAGAATAACAAACACTGTTTAGAATGTCAAACGACTTAACAGATACCACTATCTAGAAGCCACCCAGAAGAATGTTCTGTTGCCAAAGTCTTTATTCTTCAAAAGTCACCATCCACCAGCTGAAGATTTTTATATGTAGATACCTTGAAAAATTCAAATAAATCCAGTGAACCCTTTGATACATAATTTACATATCACAAGCACAGAAAATATGCTATGTAGTGAAAGCATTGTGTAACACACAAGAAGAAGCAATTTCCTATTTTAAGGAAATATGAGAGTAGTCATAGAAAATTTTCATTAAACTCTGGAAAAAATCTTACAGCAGTTCTTTCTTATCACTATACCTCCCCTCTTTATAGGATCCATAAAAATGGATTGTGGTGAGAGAACTGAACCTGAGTTAGTCTACAATTTGAGTTCTCCTCGGCTTTGGTCAGTTAGCAGAGGTATACTATTGTGGCTTATGGTAAGATCTCCCTGCTCTGACAATTTCCACAAGGACCCATCTCTCAAGACAGATCTTAGAAATTCCTTCATCTGCTGGATTTTATCTTCATCTTCAGGCATCATAAATTAGAACCAAACATAGTACTTTACTTTCCAAAATTAAGACAAATAAAAATCAATCTTTTCCTTTGCCTTTGTTCCTTAAACCCTGTAATTTCTACTAGACTCTAAAGGGTACTCCCCCTGACTCACACACTGTATGTATATTGATATGTTGGTGCAATGTAAACCAAGGTCATTTCACTACAAGTTGTAACATTAATTTTGCTTTGCTAGAGTAACTTGAAGTCGTAGCATTTAAATTTTGAAGTTCAATTGGCTTTAGCTAGTCATTTACTTAAGAATCTTCTCTAATAACAAAATCTTAATCATAAGATTAATGTTTTTAAACATTCTAATATTACAATAATCCCATTTTGCATTCCTCAGATAATGTCTGATTACTCTGAAATTGTGCAAGGTGCATTTCATGATGATAGTATAAAAAAAGCATGAAGTATTTAAGAGGTGGACTTGAATACTTTCCACATAACACAGGTTGACAGAAGAAACAAAATAGTCTTCATTTACAACGAACACTCACCTTACCAAACAGTGTAAACTTTAACTTGTTTTTCTTTCATCAGTTTTTGGCTTGGAAGCTTCCTCCATTGTCTAAAAGGGAGAGAGCAAAACCATCAGTGAGCTCCTTTTTTGGATTAAGTGTCAAAAACAGGGAAGGTTTATGAGGAATAGGCTTGTCAAATTCAAAGATGATGGTAATGTGAAAATAGGTTGGTTCTAAGTTTCTCTTCTTCAACTGACCAGAACACTGTGTCTTCTTCCCCTTTGATCTTCTAATAGAAAAATAATTTTAAGTGATCCCAAATTTCTCACTCTAAACATTTTTATATTTATATGAATTTATTTATGCAGTGCTGGAGATGTAACCCAGTGTCTTACTCGCAAATGCTCTACCACTGAGCTATTACCCAAACCCTATAAACTTGTTTTTTGAAAAGCCATTGGTAGGCAACTTTTAAATATGGACAGGTCTTCTTGGATGGCAGTATTTTATCATTCTATAGTGATCCATTATTTTCCCATATTTAGGGCTGTAACTGGCTAGCTAATACACTCATTATACAGGGTTATTAAGTTTTCTATTTTCATTAAGGGGCTAATCAAATACTTAATATAAATAAAATTAAATAATAAGCAAGTAAGTACTTAATCCATCTAAGATATAATGGTATTAGTAACTGTCAATTATGAGTCCTGTTTCTTGTATCCTTTAATAGAATCTAATATAGAAGATTTCATAATCTTGTTCTTAAGAGTTTTAATGCAAATAGTCTAGTTTTAAAAACTGTACCTTTAATTTCCCATTATGATCAGAGGATCATAATTATAACCATGTGAGTCATACATTCTTGGAATTAGAAGAGACCTATAAATTGTCAAATCCAATGTCTATTGCTGACCACGACATGAGTTATTTTAACAATAGGAAGCTCCCAAAAGTTGTCCATTAATATTCAACTAACTCCAAACCTTGGCCTTGACACTATGACTTCCATTCATTACCTTTCATTCTACTTTCTAGAGCAACATGAAGACTTATGTACTGATATAGTCTGCATGCCGAATGCCCTCCAGAAGTCCATGTATGAAAGGATTGGTCCCCAGGGTGGCACTGTTGGTGGGTGCTATGGACCTTTAAGAGGGTGGGGCCTTATGGGAGGTCCTTGGGCCAGTAGGGGCATGCCCTCAAAGTGGACTATGGTAAACCATTTCTTCTTCCTTTTTTTTAGTTTTTTCTTTTTGCTTCCTGGCTGATGAAGTGAGCAGTTTGCTTTGGCACATGTTCTCACCATGATGTGTGCCTTACCAGAAGACCAAAGCAAGGGGGAAAACTGAACATGGGCTTGAATCTCCAAAAGCCATGAGCCAAAACAAACCTTTTCTCTTTATATGTTAATTGCCTTAGATATTCACTATAGTGACAGATACATGACTAATACATGAACTAATAATCTCATTATGTACTAATCTCCCTAATAGTTGCAGTCTAATGAATATATTTGACCATAGAAACTGAATAACTATCTCCCCTAATTTTATATACTATTTTCATGCCCTAAAATTTATATAAATTATATATTCTGGTATTATTGAAATAAAGGCAGAAAATTTGAATTGTGTTAAGAACATTTACAATTTATTTTGATTTTTAAAGCTCCAATTATTTAGAAGTTATTAATATATTACTGATATATTACTACTTAGTAATATAATAATATTAAATATATTTTACACAGAAATCTAAAATTACTTAGCATATCATGTATATACATGTACCTATATACATACACATATGCATAAGTATATTTTTAAAATTCAGTTTCTTGGGCAAGAAATGCTAGAGCTAGCTAGTGCTTAAAAATCTTTTATTGTAAATAGCTGTTATGGTTTAGCTATAAAGTTTTCCCTGAAAAGCTTATGTGTTGCTCTACTGTTATGTATGTATATCTAAAAAAGAAGAACAACAACAACAACAAAAACAATAAAAAAGCTCATGTGTTAGAAATATGATATGCAACGTAGGAACATTCAGAAGTGAAATGATTAGATTGTAAGAGCTGTAACCTATTCAGTAGATGAACCCATTTGACAGATTAAGAATTTGAAAGGATTAGGACACTGGGAGGTAACTGTAGGCAGGCGGGGCACAGCTAGAGGAAGTATGTCACTGGGGGTGTGCTCTTGGGGATTTTATTTTGCTCTGCTCCTTGTTCTCTCTCTCTCTCTCCCCACACCCCTTTCTCCTTCTCATGCGTGGACTGAACCTCTGAAACTATGAACCTAAAATAAACTTTTCTTTACTTTAAATTGTTCTTGTCAGATGATTTGGTCACAGCAACAAAAAGTTGACTTACAATAAGAAACTAAATTACTACCAGGGATAAATCCTACTTCCATGTAATTGCTAAACTAATGTTTAGTTTAACAGCCTCATGTTTACCTTTTCTGAATCCTTCGCTTCACCTCCATTTTGGGATGATTTGGAACTGGAAGCCTCCTTCTTATCCTAAAGCAAAGGAAATGCAATGAGGTTACTTGCTGTCATCAATCCATCTAGCAACTAACTCCTGGCTATGATCAAATTAATCTAGACTATTTTTACAAGCAGCCTGTAAATTCCCAATTTAATTAATAACAGGTGTTTTAGTCATGAGTTTTTAAAACAATGGTGAATGTACACAGAAGTGTTTAAGGCAGGAAGTTAAAAGATTAAAAATAAGGTATGAAGTGAGCATCCTATGGATGATCTGCTGAGTTCCATGGTATGTGACTCACACACAACTAATTCTGATCATCAAAATGGAACTTGTCCATCATCAAAAAGACAAGAAATAACAAGTGTTTTCACAAGGGGGTGGAGAAAAGAGAATCTTAGTACATACACTATTGATGGGAATGTAGATTGGTCCAACTATTAAGGAAAACAGTGTGAATACTAAAGAATTAAAAATAGAACTATCATACACCCCAGCAATCCTTCTTCTGAGCATATGCTCAAAGGAGGTGAAATTACGCCCTCAAAAAGGTATCTGCACTCCTATGTTCCTTATAGTATCATTTACAATAGCCAAGATATGAAAATAAGCTAAATATACTTAGATAAATAAAAAAAGAAAATGGCAATTATACACAATGAAATACTATTCAAGCCTTAGAAAAGGACAGCTTGCCATTTGCCACAGCATGGACACACCAGGAGGAAAATGCTAATTGAAGTATTCCAGGCACAGAAAGCAAAATATTGAATGATCTCATGTAGATTACAACAAAAGAAAAGCAGTCAGGCGCAGTGGTACATGTCTGTAATCTCAGGAGCTTGGGAGGCTGAGGCAGGAGGATAGCAAGTTCAAAGCCAGCCTAAGCAACTCAGTGGGACCTTGTCCCTAAATAAAATACAAAATAGGGCTGGGGATGTGACTCAGTGGTTGAGTGCCCCTGAGTTCAATCCTTGGTACCAAAAAATAAAATAAAATAGAAAAGCTTAAATACACAGAGAGAACGAACAGTGGTTACCATGGGCAGGGCAGGCATAGCGGGCAGGAAATTAGGGAGATGTGTGATGTGTGTCAAAGAACATGAAATAGCAAATAAGTAGGATGAACAAGTCTAGAGATCTAAATCACATTATAAGGAGAAAGTTATAAAATTATATTGTATAAGAAATTTTTGTTAAGTAGATTTTAGCTGCTTGTCACAAAAATGTAATAATAAATTAATAATAACCAATATGTCAATCTGCTTCACTACAGTAACCATTTTCCTATCTTTATGGATCCCATAACATCATGTAAACCTCAAATATACACAAAAACAATTGATGAAAACAAACAAAATAAACTGTACATAAAACACACACACACACATACACACAAAATGAAACCAAAACTCAGAGCATTTTTGGACTGGCTTTTGTAGTTAAAACCAAGACATTGTTGTCAGTGTTATGTGGAGAAATTTAACAATGCAAACAACTGCAGAGCTGGAGTAGGTTACATAGGAAAATAAAATCCATTTACCATAAAAAGATATTAGGAGTTTCCAAGTGTGAAATAGGATATTGAGAAGGTCTACAAAGGAAATCACCCAATACAAAAAGACCAACTATGCCATGATTGGAAGCTATGATTAATAATAACCAAAGCAAGGTTAAATCTAAGATCTGCAGGATGTATTGTTCTGAGAATAATAGCGAAGGAATTCATTTCATGTTTCCTTCTATGTGAATTAAGGGTGGCCATGGTTTACAGGTACAGAACCTCACACTTGTTGAATTAGACATTAGTTTTTCATTCACTTTTAATCACATTTTGAGAATCTGATAAGTATCAGGCATTTTGCTACTGCTGAGCACACAGGTCATCAGTGAATGATGACCATTATTCCAACTCTGTTTACATCACAGGACCCAGCTTATAAACACCAAATACTATTGGCTTAAATAAATATTAACAGAATTCTGGACAGGCTGCTTGTCATCCCTGGGGACACATTAAAAGTGTTCAGAAATGGTGCATTTTTATGCTATTGTAAAAGAGTGCACCTCTATTTATTTTAATTTTCACCTTTATTTTATTTTATCTTGAATTTATAAATCTTTGTAGCATAAACCCAATCTTGCCATTTGCCTCAGTTTACCTGCCCATCATCGTCCAGGAGGTGTCTGTATTCAGGTGGGATAGTGTCATCTCTTTCCCCCAGCTTGTCTCTGTGTTCAGCTTTAGTTCTTTCCTATAAACATTGACAGACATAATGACTCTTCATTTCCTCCTTCACTTGGAAAAATACATTCTAGGATGCAGCATTTGTTTTACTCTTCTGAGGCAAAACATATGCTCTGTGTTTATTTTTTAAGCAATAAAACAACAAAATGGATGACAACAGTTAGTGAAAAAATGTCAACCCATATGTTTCTATATATCAGCCTATATCTGTGAAGTTTCTGTTTGTATTTTAAATTGAAATAAAGGATTAAATAATTATCTTCAGGAGCCACATTAGGAGAGAAAAACCCAAGGGTATAAAATAAGTTTTTTCTTGTTCAAATTTCAAATAAAATACATTGACATGTCAGAAGGTCATATTTACAGCTTCGACTATTTTTAACCAACTCTGAAGGAGTTGACAATTGTAGAAAATCTGATGCTTGTATTGCAGTGAGGAAGCACCTGCTGGTGTATAAGCCATACTTGCCCCAGCATCCCCACCTGTGGGTCTCTGCTAGGCTCCGTACAGATTCTGGGACCCTCCCTGCAAGTGGAGTAGAGTTGATTTTTCTGAATTATTAGAATTTCACTTTCCAAATATAAATTAAGTTCACATTCACTATTCCTGTGATGGAATGACAATTGCAGAAATGCCAGAAATGCCCTGCCTTTGTGACATTGATTTGGCTGATCAGAGAGTTACATTGTGGTTCTAAGCTAGTTTCAAAGCAGCTAAAATAGATTAAGTATTGTGCACTGAGTATAAATAAGTGCTTATACCTAGTATATCAAATGTATAGAATTAACTGTGCCCTCTTCATAGTGCTGAACTCAGCCCAAGGCCTCTCATTTGGAGTTTGATTTCAGATTTAGTTATACATGCAAGAGAAGGCTGCTGGGGGAAACCTCTGACCAATACATGACCTTCGACACTACTAGCACACAAAATGTGTTCAATTAAAAAGTGCACACATATGCATATCATATGTATGATGTCCTTATTCCCAAGTAAAACTAGGAAAAGGTAATGCAAAAGAAGAAAACAGAATTAAGAAAGCAGAACTGCACTGTGTAACAATGGAAACGTCACTACAAGGTCAGGTCTCACAAATAGGACATATGACTGTCTTAGTGTCTGTGCGACAAACATAATCCTTCAAGAGGAAATAAAGAAATGCCACATAGACCACAGGGCAGAAAAAAAACAATGAAACTCAAATTAGCCAACTGTTCACTTAGGCCAGCTAAATATAATATCAGAGGTATTTTTTTCCCTTTTTTGTGGAGGATGGGATATTATATGCTTTAAAAACCTTACATGAATAATTTTTTTTTTTTTTTTTTTTTTACCTTCACTTTATCTTCCATTGGTTTGTTCTCATCTGGGTCAGGCTGTCTTTGCCCGAGACTATCAGAAAGTTTATCCAAGGCATCGTCAAGCTCTTTGTCTCTCTGCTAAAAAAGTAAATAATTCTAAATTAGTTACTGCTTAGTCAAACTGTATCAGAGGCAAGTAAGCCAAAGAGCCCCATTTTTTCAGGAGTGGACTTGTTTTCTTGGAAGAGAAACTGGGTGGGTTGCAGGAATAGATATGGTTACAGAAGTTGAGTGAAAGGGAGAGGCAGCAGTAATACGTGTCCATTTGACTGGGTTGGAGCACCAGGGCCATATGCTCACCCTGCCCAGAATTCTGGAAAAAAAACCCCACCAAATTATGGAATTCTCTGTGGTAGTGTCAGGGACTGCACCCCAACAGGTGACCCAGAGGTTACCCTCACCCTAGAGGGTCCAAACATAAATGAACCAGTCACTTTCCTTTTATTTAGATATTAAACACAATTTTTTTAAAAAAGGATATGACAATCCACAGATGTCAGATGGTTAGCAGGTGGGATTTTGCAAAAGAAGATGAGTATTTCATTGGTGTTGTGGGTACACATGACAAACAGATCTAGAAAGTACATTCAAGAAGTACAGCATGACCACAGCAAATTGTGGGAAGCCATACAGCACATTTCCATCCCAGTACTTCCTGGAGCTCAAAACTCCAGAGACAAACTGGTATCACAAGAGTGAATAGGGATTCTCTGCCATAGCAGGGAGGAGGGGATTCAAAAGACTTCAGAGAATTTCTGCACTGGTGGGGAATCAGGAATGGTGCAATCACCAAGAAGCCCATAGAAGTGAAAATGTCCAATGTCCCAGCAAAGAAAACTCAGGCGAATTATGATGGTTTAGTTGACTCCTAATACCCAAACACATTCATTTGAATAAATCTTTTTGCCTAGTTTTAGGGATGTCTTCAAATAAAACATGGAGTCAAACTAGACTCTGATGGGGAAAGTGAAGGATCATCACAAGATGTATTTGTGAAAGGCAAAAGCCTTTTGATTACTGTTTCCTAATAGACTCAATAACCTCCGGCCTGAATAGGTGTTAGGAACTGAAATACATATAGCAGCTTGAGTTATTACTGATTCTCTTACACAAGAACTTCTGCCATTAGGGAAACACACACACACACACACACACACACACACACACACACTTTAGAGCCCAGAATTGCAGCTGCTAATGGGGAAATTCCCAGTGGCCCAGTCTGGGCTTTGTCATCTGTGCTTCTGGATATTTTCAGATGGTCCTGAGACTGACCAGACAGGATGAAAATCCATCAGAATCTGAGACTCCAGCACTAAGTAAGCTTTGAAGTTACATCAAAAGAAAAGGCAGCACAGCTGACCTCACCATAGCGACTTCATCTTTCTAGCAAATGAGGCATTGTTCCCAACAGGGAAGATGGGGACCTGGCTGGAGGCCACTCTTTATCTTCTGATGTGTTGTAGATAATGTATCATTTAACATAGTACAGATAATTAATCAAGGAAGTCTAGAACAGCTTTGGACCTATGGCCTTGCTTCAGAACTTGTAAACAATTAAAACACTATTGATGCATGAAAATGACAAATTTTTACTGGTGTGAATGGGGAAAACAATGCTATTCAATAACATGCTTGTAATTTTTTTTGGGGGGGGGCAGGAGAAACTTAAATACTGCAAAATTGCATAAAATAAATCTGAGGTTAAATAACCTGTAGTAAATTATAGCATGTGCCAAAAACTTCATAAAGAAAAAAAAATCAATTATCAGGAAAGCTAAGGAATTTTTCAAATCGAGTAATTAAAATACATACACAATATATATTATTGTACTTGCAATTATGGTAAAGCAGCAATCATGTTAAGGTCCTTGACTGTGAGTAAAATGGTTTAACATATGTCATTTCATTTAACCACTTCACAGATATTCTCTGCCATCTCCCAATATAGCCAGACTAGGATTTTCTAAAATGGAAAGTGCCTAATCTAATAATCTTGTCTATTTTCATTTGATGTAAGCAGGTATCCTATTTTCTTTCTTATTGCTGTTTTTGGAATATTTTAATTCCAATATCTTTTGGAATATTTAGATAAACTGTTTTAGACATATAGTTTTCCATTTTTGTGTCTTTATTTTTCTATTCAATTCTTTTTCTTTATATCAGTCTAACATCTTATAGCACCTTTTACTTTCTAATCTGCTGCCAATAACATACATAGCATATATAATGTCATCTACAATGCGTTACATACAAATAGTCATAGTTACAAGTATACATAAGTGTTCCAAATAAGATAAGTTGCTTACCAAATTGTCAGGTGGGGGCTTTGCAGGGTGGGTGGCTGAAGCTGGGGTTTGGGAAACCACTTCTGAGATGACAGCAGAAAGTTTATCATCTGCAAATTCCTTTTATGAAAATTTTTTTTTGTCAGTAATATGTTACATATAAAATCATGCCCACAAGGCTTTGAAGATAGCTCTAATGACTGTTCATTCTCTTGATTCAAATACATGCAGAGCAACACAACTTAAAAGCAATGTTTTCCATTTCATCTCTAAAGCATTATTTTATACTATTTTCTATTCTGTAGTCATATTTATTATTCTAAATATTAACTGTTCAATAATGACTTATAGTTCTGGAATTTGTTTATATACTTCCCTTTGTACACTTAACGTTGTTCAAAGGTTTTCAAGTTTTTGGCAACAAACGATCTAACTAAGCTTTAGAAGTGAGTGTTTATAGTGCTGGCTATATTCTACCCAGTTGCCCTCTCAGAGTTGCTAGGAGTTTGTGCTGCTAAAAAACAATGAATGAGTGTGTTTCTGATACATGTAATATGATGCAAACTGTTGCTTCAATATTACAATATATGGTGTAAAGTTACAGTTTAATATTTTTCCTGAATGTTGGATAATTATTCCAGAAACTTTCTGAAATAATTTCTTCTCACTTTATTTTAAACAATATACTAAATTTGTCATTTATGTCCACTTCTTAATTTTCTTTCACTGACTTAAGCCATGTTTACTCTCTGAATCATAAATAAGAGACATGATTACTGTATAACATATGCTAGTGTTCAGTTGTATTAATCGTCCATAAAAATACTGAAAAGAAGTTTTCCATACTTTGGTTTTCCATATTTTTATACATTTACTTTCCAAATATATTTTAGAATAATTCAAGTTACAGAAAGTACCTTATTGCTATTTTAAAAACAAATTAATACATATAAAATGACTTGAAGTAATTATAAACATTCTTTTAGATATTTAGATAACTGTTTTAGACATAGTTTTCCATTTTTGTGTCTTTATTTTTCTATTCAATTCTTTTTTTTCTTTACATAAGTCTAATATCTTACAGCACTTTTATTATCTAATCTGTTGCCTGTTTTATTATCTAATCTATTTCATAGCATATATAATGTCATCTACAAATGTTATATACAAATAGTCATAGTTACAAGTATACACAAGTGTATCTTTTTAATGTGTTATTTTTTTATCTGTCATTATTCCTCCATAAATTATACAGAAATGACTATAAAATCAAATTTTCATAGTTTTTAAGGGAAATGAAATCAGTTTGATATTTAATATATGATTATTGAAATTAAATAGATACTATGTAACACATTAAAGGATTACCTATCCTTTCTAAGTTTTTAATTAAAACATGAATGTATGTAAAATTCCAAATATATCTTTTATATGAACATAATTACTTGATTGTTTCTCTATGATTTTCCTGTGAGTGAATGAATGACTCAGTGCCCCTGGGTTCAATGATGTTTTTAATTTTTTTTATTTTGAGACAGGGTCTTGCTAAGTTACTTAGAGCCTTGCTAGATTGCTGAGGCTGGCCTTGAATTTGCAATCCTCCTGCCTCAGCCTCCCAGGGCACTAGGATTACAGGTGTGAGTCACCACATCTGATGAATGCTTAACTTATGATAAAAGCTAGTGACTACTTTAAAAACTTGTTATAGTTCATTCTAGTAATCTTTTTATACCTAAAAATTTAAGTGCCTTTGGATGATATTGCTATATTCAATGAAGCTTTAAGATTTGGACCATAATCCCTGTAGAAGCAAGCATGTATAACACTATCTTTTTCATGACATATTCATCACCTGGAAACTACCTGAGTGTTAAACACGTAAAAGAGTTATCTCTAGAGCTCTGGCAGGAGGTAAGCTGGGGGACAGGTCTAATCTCTTCTTCAGTTTTCCTTTGTTCAAATTTTATGAATTGTTTTATTTTGTATTTTTGTTTGTTATCTCATTAGAAAACCGTTATATGTAGTGATTACTAATAATTTTGTGTGCTGATTGTTACTTTTACTTGTTCTTGATTTCTTACTTTCACAATGGATTGTACTTTTTAAAGACCTTCTTCTTTTATACCTGCCAGTGCTTTATAGACATCCATAAAAATCAACTGGGGATTGGCTTTGAACTATCAATAATTAGGTTGATCTCTAACACTGTTTATTACCTTGTTCTCATTTTAGAATTTCATTCTATTTATACAATATTTATTTTTTAGTTTTTGGTGGACACAATATCTTTATTTTATTTTTATGTGGTGCTGAGATCAAACCCAGCGCCCCACGCATGCCAGGTGAGCGTGCTACCGCTTGAGCCACATCCCCAGACCCGCACAATCTTTTCCTCTTTTTCATTTGCTGCTGTTTTGTAATGTATTAGTTTTTTTCAGAAGAAACAACCACTTCAAGCTTCACTTATGCTGCTGCTTTCATCTGTTATTATGAGTCCTTTGCTTCCTCTGCTCCTAGGTTAGTGAGTCTTTTGGGTGGTCATGTTACTACCGCTTTTAGCTACTTAAATTTAAAATTCAACAAACTTTTGGTTTATCAAGTTTTTCTTTCTCTGTTATTGAAAAAGGCATTTATGACAATAAATACATCTCATGAGTACTGCTTTGGTTGCTTCACAAAGTCTTTTAATTTGTAATGTCATCTTGATTTTTTTTTCTTGTGGATTGAACCCAGGGTACTTAACCACTGAGCTATATACCCAGCTCTTTTTATATTTATTTTGCAACAGGGTCTTGCTAAGTTGCTTGGAGCATCATTAAATTGCTGAGGCTTGCTTAGAACTCACCATCCTCCTGCCACAGCCTCCCTAGCTGCTGGGATTGACAGGCATATGACACCATATGCCTGGCTCTTCTTGATTTTTTTAAAAGATAATCTATTTTGAATTTACTACTTAATTTCTGTCACCTTAGGGGAATATTTTAAATATTCTATTTCTGTTCTGTTTTATTATGATCAAACAACATGATATATACAGTATTCTTGTACATTGGACTACTATGAGGCAGTATATGGTATGTTTCCCCCAATGTTCTTGGGACTGTTCCCCAAAGAGTTTTCTAGTTTGTCCATTTTATTTTTTATCTCAAATCATGTCTTTGCTTAGACAACTTCTTAGGGTGGGGAGGTCATACACATTCAATGTTACAATTTTCAAATCTTTGAATTCCTAAAAGGGAGAAACCCTGACTATGGTAATAATAATAATAATAATAATGATAGTATGTTGAAAGGAAGTAAGGCCCATTTCCCACACCTGGCTCATATGTTCTGAATTACTGTGATGGGATGATTTCATATCCCCAGGACACTGTTCCTGTTGTACTTTTCCCCATATCTTATATCCAGGTCGGAGGTGCCTGTCTGTGATGTGTCCTGCTTACACTCATGATGAGAGGAAGGTCATGGGATGGGGTGACTGCATGTCATGATGTTCTCCTAGGGGCACTGTGAGGAGCACACACTGCTTAGTGGCCTCTTCTCAAAGGGCTTATTGCTTTAGCAAGAGCAGAACTTCAGGTCATGCCAAGGAATCTTTATTTTTTCTCCTCCTGCTTTCCAACTGATACGTTTTCTTTGTCATCATCCACACAGGAGAGCTTCTTAATTTGCTTTTCAACTGACTGCTAACAATACATTCAGTGATTTAAGTAACTGAGTTAGCTGTAAATAGATATACCAGGCCACATAAGTTACTTAAATAGGAACTCCAACAGACTTATATGTTCACATATAAAATGCCATGAAAATCCTACAGTAGAAAAGCCTGTTTGACATTACCAACATTGTCCAATTTGTTCAGCAACATTCCCTTTGAGAGACTACCTATTCCATATGGAGCTAAGTTTCCTTAGGAGGCAATTTGGAAAATGATAAATTACAGAAATGACAGGTAAAGAGGTCTGAGAAGTGATTTTGGAGAAACTCAAATTTAAACTCTCTTTTCATATAGATACTTAACATAGTAAATACTCATTGGTCCAATTAGTTAGACTGTTGAAATCATCCACTGTTCAGAACAATGTTTCAGGTGCAATATATTTTTAATGGTTACAGTGTGATGAGGACCATAAATTTTGTGATCGTTTCCTCAGCTTCCAAGTCAGATTCTAGTTACAAGTTTCCATTTATTTCTGCCAAAAATAAACCAGAAGTTTCAAACTTACAAGAGAGGAAATGTCCCGGTTACCAGCGAAGTCCTCAGACAAAGCATTGAGAAGGAACTCGTCGCTCATGGGCTGCAAGAACCAGGAAATGAGATCAACACTAGTGACATCTGTCTCCTCTTGAAAAGGCAGTCACTATTGCATACTGATCAACTCACTAAAAGGAAAACTATCCCTTTCCCAAACTATCAATCAGGACCAAAAGGAGACAGATATACTCAAAGAAAACTGATTTGCTTACCGGAAGCTGTTCCTTGGGCTCTTTAGCCAGGAGTGGTTTTCCATCTTTATCCTATTCAGGGGGAAACATGGCAATGAATCATTTCACACTTTATCCCAAATATGAAATCTATACACATTACAAGGGATCAATATACCTAATGTTGTACACATTAAATTAGAGTTAACATTTCAGGAAACAAATTCTCTCACTAGAGAACACACTCTAATTAGTTCATGCCAACAGTCAGCTCACATGTACCAGGTATTCCCCAAGGCATGGAGTTTGCACACCTGATTACACATGGCTTATGGCTCCAGAGGCCCAAAGAGTAGGCACAGGAGAAAAAACACACAAACAGTCAATGTAATGTGATGTATGGGGTTGTGACAGGGATTTACAGGACATAACAAATTAGTCCCTTGCCTACCTGGGGATGGGCTTTGCAGGAGTTGCCTGGAAAATTCAGGTTAACTTCATAAAGCATGCATACAACAAACAAGCATTGATAATGGGCCTTAAGCACTGAGAATGCATTAGAAAAATAGCATGAAGTCCCAACCAAACTTCAGGACGCTTAGATTAGCGGTGTTTAAAATTTAAGGCTCAAATTATACCGTGCTTTAAATGACTCCAAGTATAATAAGAAAAAAACTGATAGAGCATTTAGGACTCTTCAGGAAAAGATGATCTATAAATTAATGGTAAATCTCATTTATCCATGTACACGCACACACAAATAAAGCCCAAGGTTATATATGAAGATATCTCCTGAAAAACTGTTCAAGGTGGTTTTATTTATTTTGTTTTTTGTATTTAAAATGTGAGGTGCAATGATTTAGAGATAGCATCTGCTTCCCTCATGAAAAACACAAACTCCTTTATCCCTTTCCATTTCCTCTGTAGTCCACTTGCACCTTCTGACCCTTCTTCCATTAGGAGCGAAAGCAGAACCTGGGCTTGTTATCCACCATCCCTTAGCTGCAAAGGTAATAAATGTCCCAAGTGATATCTGTGACCCTGGGGACCTTTCTGTTCCACACTCAAATTGAATAAATCTTCTATCACCCCATCATCGAGTGTCTGGAATGGGAAACTTGAGATCTGCTTTCAGGAGCTGACTTTCACTGAAGAGACCTAATGCAATTATGGTGGATGAATAAATGTGTATTATTTAAACAAAAGATCAAGCCAACACCTCGAAACATTATAAAGAAGAAGGTAAGTAATGATGTGTGAGCTAAATTCAGAAGAGGATGAAACCACCACAGAACAGAGTGGTCAGGGAAAGCTCATCACTTAAATGCTGCTACTAAATTTCAGTGAAGGCAGTAAGTTACCCACCACCTACTACAGAGCAAGTTAACTGGACCCGGCCAGCTTCTACTGGCTTCTATCTGTGGAGACAGACATGTAGCTCTGAAGACCCTCTCTAAGAATTTGCAAAGCAACATACAAATAAGCTCAAATTAAGAGAAATGCCTTGGTTTCAGCTGCATTGTGAAATGCAGAAAGCCAGCAGAATAAAGGTGTCTAGAATAAACTTTCAATCAGTATAGCTCCCAAGTTGTTGAATAAATGTAGCAGTGCATGTGGATGAATTTAATTTCCTGTAATTGTTAATAGTTTAGTTTCACTTTCTTTTAAGTAGTGTTATGTTATAAAGATGAGTGACATTTGTCCATGTACCTGCCCTGCTTAAGTGACCATACTAATCGATGAGATTCCTAATGGGGTCTTTCCCTCTCATGCTCATTCTGTATAATCTGTTCTTGCAACATAAAAGAAATGGGTCAGTTTTATCACTTTACTTGATGACAAACAGGCTCTCAGTTTTTTGACTTTATCTTAGAGTCACAAATTTTTCCTCATAGTAAGTATCTGCTCTTCATTCTGGTATTACTATCTGCCTAAGGTTTCCTGTATTTCTGCACTATAATAAATCAGGTATGCAAAGGAGATAACTTTGGGTAGCAGTGCCAATAGATTTCTTTCACTTAAGGCTGGATTGAAGTCTCATTTAGAAATATTTTAGCTTCATTTCTGGTTTTCTAACATGATATCTGTGGACTAATACAGTGAGTGTTTGAAATTTTAGAAAATAAGATCTTAATATTCCAGGTCTATTCCACATCCCTTCATTATGTTTAAGAAATCCAGAATGAATTAAAATAAGAAAATATTCCAGCCTATTTACCTTGACCTCCTCTAACCTATAATCAGGAGGAATAGTTTCTTCTTTTTCACCAAGTTTTTCACGATCTTCTTCTTTGGCTTTCTCCTAAATAAAAATCATATCATTTGCATAGTTAATATATTTTCTTCCTATAAAATGGATACCTGGGATAGAGTGACTAAATGTGAGGTAAACAAATCTGTCATTATATTCCAGTATATATATGACCATACATGGAGAGTTCCTCCAGCAACCCAATTTCTAACACCACATCCAAGCTTAGCAGGTACAGGCACCACCACACAGGCTGCTGGGCTGAGTGCAGATTGCAAGGAGCAGCTGCCACTTCACACAAGTTCTCAGCAATGGGAAGGCAGCCATGGGAATGCAAAGGTGAAAATCAAAGAGCTTGGACATATGCATGCTGTCCATTCACTGTGGGAGTTAAACACTGGAGCTTCTTCCGGTTTAGTTTATTGACAGAACAGGTGTAGTAATAATCGAGAAAGCCAATTGGACATGTTTTATGAATACCGTGTTTTTTAAAAGAAACCAATGACTAACTTATTGGGGGTTTGGTCAATGGCAGTTCTTTCTAGATGTGTCTGAGCTGCTATTTATTACCTTGACTTTATCTACTACAGGTTTTCCACCTTCTGGATCTGCTTCCCTTTTCCCCAGGCTACCAGCTAAGGCTTCTACAGCATCATCTGGCACCATGCTTTTCTAAAAAAACACAGGCGGATATGTTAAGTAGGTAGATAGTGATTTTCTTTAAAAACAGACTCTCATCAAACAATCCAGAAGGGCAAGTCCTTATTTCAGGCCTAGATAAGAAGCACACGTTATTTTATAACAATTTCAGTTATCAATTGAATTAGAATCAATATTTAGTAAACTTAAAAGACTAAAAATTATAACAAGTTTCTTCCATACAACCTCACATGTGTGGAACTTACATATTGGCCAGAAATTTGCAAGATCTAGCCAGAATTTTGGTTCAGAAATAAGAAATATAAGGAAAGTAAGAGGAACTGAAAAGTCAGTAAAGAAGACAGAAGTAGTCACTGTGGAGTTCATTGTAAAGACTGCACAGTAAAGATTTTCAGAATCCTATAGGAGAAAACTTTCTTTTCTACTTCCTGTGAGTTAGATGGCCAGTCCAGGAGGTACAGAGGTGTACCTATGTAGCTTCTGCAGTTCCTATGGATCACCGATGGTTCAGGTGACCCTGCTGTGACCGATTAACCTGAGCAGCACAATGAAAACTGTCCATCTGTGGTCCAGTAATCAAAAATAAAATATGCTCCCACATGATGTCATAAGCTCTGGTCATGGTGGTATTTAAAGTGAAAAGATGAACACGAAACACAAAAGATGTAAAGGGAAAATAAAGAGTATAATGTATGTTTGAGTTAAAAGACAGAACTAGCTCTGGCTTTTCTAAACAATGGGTTGTTATCTCTACATTAGGTGACTTATGAAATATCAGTGGAATATTTTATGGCCAGGACTTATTTTTTTAATATATAGACTATAAAATAGAATGGTTAATACGTAATGGGGATAAGTGCCATTCATTGAATTTCATTTCAATCATGTGGTACTGAGTTGCAATATCAACTGATGATCTTGGTCAAGCAAAGGCACAGAAGCCTTTGGTTTGAATAGTCTCAGAATTTATTTTTACTATAAGCTTTTTTTTTTTTTTTTTTTTTTTTTTTGTGTGTGTGTGTGTGGTGCTGGGAATTGAAGCATTCTAGGCAAGCACTCTACCAATTGAGCTATATCTCCAGCCCCTCAGAGTAAATCTCTCACCTCACACTGATGATCTATTTTTTGAAAAATAAAGATAAACAAAATAAAGGTAGTTGGACACAATACCTTTAATTTATTTATTTATTTATATGTGGTTCTGAGGATTGAACCCAGGACCTCGCATCTGCTAGGTACTCTACCTCTCTACCACTGAGCCACAACCCCAGCTGGAGGAATGATTTTAATATTACCAAAAAATGGGGCTAGGGCTGTAGTTCAGTGGCAGAGCCATTGAATCATTGCCACACATGATTCAGGCACTGTGTTTGATCCTTAGCGCCACATAAAAATGAAACAAATAAAATAAAAGCATTCTATACATCTGCAACTATAAAATAAATAAATACATAAAATTATCAAAAAGTGTCCTTCTGTTTTATATATCTTAATCATCATCATTACAAAATAATAATTTTTTTTTCTGCAAAAGTGTGCTGCTATAAGTCACCAATGAGGAAAGGAAGACCAAGAGGAAGGTAATTTTCTGCCACCTTGTGGCTGAATGTTGAAAAGATTTTATTTCCAGGAGGGGGGGGGGAACTAAACTAAACTCTTTGGTATTATACTTAATTCCTAACAGTTGCACTGGCACCCAGATCTCATCCAGGAAATCTGGCTTGGTATCTATCTGAGACATCTGCTCACAATATACTTCTGTTTTGTCATACTAAGTCTTGTGGGACCTTTGGAAACCACTGCTTCCCAAACCTGTACCCTTCCCCCACATTGGGTTTAAGAAATTACTGAAACAGAGTTAAAAGAAAAGCAAGGAGAACAGTCTTAGGAATGAAGGAAACTGAAAACAGGACTAAGGACTACAAATTCCATTTCTGTAGTATGTCGTGTCAAATTCAGAAACTAGTACTCAGGTTTCTGAATTTCCTTAGTAAATTTTCTTTTTATACACAAAAGAACCATCCTAGACTCACATTCATTTCCTTTTGCTGGTTGTCTTTCCTTCACTCACTAATCCTCATGCTTTCTGAGGTCTTCTGACCTTTATCACACTTTGCTGCTATTCTTTCTGGCTCCCAAGGGTGTCACAATCCCAGAAATGCCAACTGCCTCACTAACGGAAACCTTGGCAACTGTTGCCTGAGTTGACAGGGTGGAGGCCTAGGAAAGGAGGTCTGGGAAGGTAACATTTTTGTTCCTTTTTGCTCACTAAAAATTCAACTCTCAACTATGTAGTCAGGGTCAAGTTGGAAAGAAAATGTCTGAGTCCCATAATGCTTTTCCTGGCAGTCACACTTGGTGGCTCAAGGTTTTTCACAAGAGCTCTGCCCTGGAATGTGGCTATTGTCCTTTTGATTCCAGTAACCATCCTTGCTTCCACTGCTGGTCACTGGACTCTTCCTGGATTCACTTCTCCTCTCCTATTCCTTACCCCTGTGGCCAGTGACCTGACAATGTAAGCTGATAGAAGCCTCAAAAACCAACACTCAAAAACCAACACCAGGGTCTCCCTCCTGCCTTTATAAATGGGACTTGATTCCCATTTATAAAGGCAGGAGGGAGACCCTGGACTGGGGGATTTGTAGTTGACACCAAGCACTTCCTTGACAGGAAGTGGCCAATACACAGCTTTCAAGATACTTGTGTTTCACTTGCTTCAAGACCCCTCACCCCACTTTTCTCAAACAACTGGATGTGCACATCCCAAGCAGACCAGGGGCTTCAAATGTCTCTGTTGGTCTATCCTGGTTGACTGGTCTCCCTGGAAAATGGTGCTACTTCCATTTTCCAGTGTGACCCTGCCCTTCACCCAAAAGTCTTTCCTAACTCCCATGAAGAGGGGCTCTTTCACTCATGTTCCCTCTGCCCTTTTCCATATAAATATGAACAAACTGTACCATAGCTGAAAGCAAGGGCCATAGCTCTCATCTCAGTCGAGGCTCTAAAATGTTAGATGGGTTTCTCAAGGTCAACTCAAAGCCCCATTTCTCTCCTCTATTATGGAAAGATGATCAGAACAGAGTTTACAGTGTGCTTGTGAAAATTCAATGAGAAGATATTACCAAGCATCTAGAACAACGGCATTGTTGGTGACCCATGTTAGCTCTTCACAGTATAGATTGACTTAGTCTCTAATAGAGACGCTATTCTCTGAATCAGATTCTATCATCACCTAATGGAAACAAAATCCATTGAAATCAAAAGTAAACAAAGACTCAATTAGTTAAATATCATACTTCATACAAAAAATTAGAGCATGAGGAGGAGGCAAGAAAATGAAGAAGGAAATGAAAAGGAATTGAGTCAATCTCTCCTCTTCTGGTTGAGACAGTGGAGTGAAATCATAATGATTTTGTTGGAAGTTTTTCCATCAGGAGTAAGTAAGAAAAGTGACATTGGCTATCTGTCAAATTCCAAATAGGCTTGAAAGACATAGGACAGTGAGTAGCAGGACGAAAATATTAGCCAAAGAAATAGAAATAATTTCAGAAGGTGAAAGAAAAACACAGCTTGTAATAATTTAATTAAAAATTTAAATCTAGCTTGAATTTTCAATAGCATAACTAAATCATATTTTGTTTATTTTCTCAGAATACGATGATTTGATGATAATGCACAGCAGAGACTGATAGGAAGAAAATTAGTCCCAGAGAATCACTTACCACGGAAGCTGGCTTGGGTGGTGCTGACTGTATACTGCACATAGAGGTTCGAGACACAGTCTCTGCCACAGTGGTGGGGGCAGCAACCTTATCTTTCTGGGGGAAACAAACAGGTTCTTTGACTAACTTTAGAAATAACTGGTCAATGATGGAGCAACAGGACACTGCAGTATCATATGTTATGAGTATGAGTCTTGAATGCCTAAAGATTTTTCAAAAGTATGTAATCTAGGCACATTAAAATTCTTTAGTAATCATTATCTCAACTTCACTTTACCTCTTATCTCAGGTAGGTTGTTAAACCTCTCTGAGACTCAGTTTCCACATCTGCAAAATGAGAACAAAGACAGTACCTACATCTCAAGGGTTGATAAAGAGGCTTAAATGAGATAACACAGGTGAAGTGTTACCCAGAGTACCTAGAAACACAGCAAACTCAACAAATTTGAGTGATTATTGCTATTATTTGTATTGTTTGTCATCACACAATATATAAGAATAAAATATGCATATTATGTAATACAAGAGAATTTTACATAAAATGGTATATTTATATAAATCTAAGGGCACATTATAAACTATAAACAGTTACATGTACAGGGAATAATAATGACCTCAGAATAGTCCCTGGACTAACAGCCTCAGTATTATCAAGCAACTTGTTAGAAATGCAGATTCTTGGGCCTCCAATGTACTAATCAGAAATTTTGGGAGGGAAAGGCTAATAAGTCATGTTTTAATAAACCTCCAGGTGATGTTTGCTAAAGTTTGAGAACCGTATCATATCTTATTGCAGGAGTCAAATTTCAAATCCAGGCATTTATGGGAGGCCTATCCTCTATGCAAAGTACTCGGCAGATAATCTACCTCATGATCTCTTCTTTTAAGAAACTTCCTGTTTTAAACTGCATGTTCAATGTTAGAGTTGGAGAAGGACCAATACAGCTAAAAACCTGTTTGTTATCAATGCTTTAGGGATTAAAAAAGGAGTGGCAGGATCCCCTGCCATGCTGCACCCTTCACACAGGTTGGAAGGATGGTATGGTTAAGCGAGGGGAAGGCAAGAGATAAAGGCCATGTTTTAGCAGAGACTTAGAAGAATGAGCAATATTTTTCTGCTGGCTAACACATAATAGACTTCAGCTGATCTAGAATTAGGAGGAAAGGCTATTCCCAATGGAAAGAACCAAATGAAGAAAACCATGGAGACAGATGTACTTACTGTTAAGTGACTGGGGAAGAAACTGGGAAAGGAGGCTTAGGCAACAACACATCAGTAGGAACTTTTCTTTTGTAGGGAATAGGAAGCCCCCTGGTGGGAGCAGGGATATGATCTGACTACAAATATGCTTTAGAAAAAATAATTTTGGTGGACATGTAGGACAGACAGGAAGGAAAATGAAAAAAAAAAGCCATTTGAGATCCGAGGGGAGAGATGATAACAACATTAGGTAAGTTACAGAAACAGAATAGAACCCCTGATCAATGGATCAAAGTATGTATTTGAGAGCACCCTGAAGGAATAATTGCAGGTCTTAAATTGCAAGAATTTCAGGGTTTGTTTGGTTAAAGAAAACATAACTAGGAAAAGATAAGACGAAAACTGCACGTCAAAAAGATGGTATAACGAGCTTATCCACTCCATCATGGTCAAATCATTCTGATTTCACATATTTTAAAATTAACAAAACATAAAACCCTTCAAAAGTAGAGATTTATATTTTCAGAAACATACTTCTGTTTTCTCAGTTGGCTTTGATTGTTTTTCTTTAGATTTAGACCGGCCAAAATCTTCTGAAAGTTCAGCAATGAGTTCTGATTCACTGAGGGGCTGTAACATAGGAACATTGTATATTATGAAGCAACTGTTTCTACTTTGTAAAAAATGTTTTCATAGAGCAATATTTTTCTGCTGGCTAACACATAGTAGGATGACTACATTTTAGGACCTAAAACCAAAAGCTAACTTATAGGGGGCATATGTTTCATTGATCAAGTAAGGAAAAGTCACAACAAAATAAGAAACCCTAAATAGCTCAATACTGCTGTTAATGGCTTACTTAATCAAAAGTTTTCCTGATGTATCAATTTCAGAAAAATTTTGCTCAAATAGAATTTCCCATTCTCCCCAATGAAGACCTAGATAGATTTTTCAAATGTGATTACTGTGTTCTTATTTCCGAGTCACTTCTTTTCTGCCTAAGTCGGAGAAACACGTCACATACTCCTTTGCCATGTCTTTGTGGCTTTCTGGCAGCAAAGTTGTGTTAACCTGGTTGTTTCAGGGGCTGTGGTATTACTAGTTTAGACCTTGTAGAGATGTCAACTAACAGCAGTGGCCTGTGATGGCAGGGCATGTCATTCAGATGCTGGGTCCCACCAGGGACAGCCTGAGCTTGCAGTCTTAGCCTTGCTGTGTTCTAGCTTGTAACTCTCTCTCTCTCTCTCTCTCTCTCTCTCTCTCTCTCTCTGTCCATTTCCTCACTGTCAAATGAAAATGATGATACTTCTTCATGCAGTGAGGACTCAAAAAGCTCACAAGAATGCATTTGTTACAGTTTTGAACACAAAGTAAGTGGTTTATAAGTGTTGCTAATTAGAATTATCATGACAATGCTACCAACTTAAGTCAATATAGAATAGGGGAATTTGATGGGTCTAGATCAAATTCTAAAGTAAGTGCAACTTAATCTCATCTAAGGCATCAGAGCTACTAATATTCAATGAAAGTCTTAGAAACTTATCATCTACTAATAATTCATGCAGAAAATAATCATTAAAATACATGAAAAGGAGTCAGAGGTATCAGCCAAGTGTTATCATCTGCAGTTCCCCCTCTATACTAGATTGGCAAAAAGACTCCACGGTAAAATATATTTGTTAAAATTATCTTATTTTATACTTAAATGTCTGTTGTTTTTTAGGTATAAAAAAGACTTATTTTCTAACCTTGAGTTTTTCTTCAAGCTCTGGCAATAGTAGTTTTCCATCTTTATCCTATAAATAAAAATGAAAAATTCACTGGAAATGAAATTGAAAATTTTGCTTTCATGTCCCATTAAGTTTGTTTTTGAGAAATGCAGAATATGAGGGTAAGCTTATTTTTTCTTATATTTGAGTGAAGTTTTGCTTTAGATTATTAACTTTTATATAGTATATCAAAAGGACTTGAGCTATATAAAGATCATTATGCCAAATGTTACCAAATATGATGTGCATTTCTATTAAAAGTTATTGAAAAACATTTCTATCTGTTGGGAAATAGAAGAGTAATAATTATTTTAAAAGGACGTTGGCAAGAAAAGTACATCTACATAAATGGAAACTTTTAAAAAATATCCAACCCAGGGTAAAGAGGTAGATTCCCTTCATCATTCCTGTGATAAATAGCATTTAGTTTCTTAAATATGAGATTATACAATTTGTGATATTTCTTAAAATAAGAAAATCTTCACATAAAAAGACATAACAATCACAATTATCTTCCACCATGTGTTTATATGTAAGTTTTCCAGAGATTAATTGCAAATGTAATTACAGGAGTTAGTCTACCATCCTCACCCCAGACCAAAACAACACAACTACCTTAATGCTAAGGATACTGCTAAATAGTTGTATGTTTAAGTCTACCACTTGCAGATCTATGGTGCTTTTATTCACATAGCAGTTAGAGAAAAAATTATTACCAATCTGTGTCAAGCATTGTTAGTAGCTGAAATAATTGAATTGGTGGGACTTTACTGACGAATGGTCCCTACTTAGGAAACCAGGAAGGAAAACCCAACCTTAAAAGGTTTTTAACTGCAAAGAGTTGAAGAGAAAGGATCCAGAGATCTCAAAGCCCAGATCTGAACTTGAACATAAGTTTCCTTGGTGTCAAGGGTAGGGACACATGGGAATATGATGCAAAGGCAGGAGAAGTATACGGCTGCTTTAATTTTTAGCACTGCAGCTAAAATTTTACCGTGACTGGCTTTAATCTGTATCCAGTTGGGACTGTTTCGTCATCCTCACCACACTTCTCTTGTTTTTCTTCTTTAGCTTTTGCCTGATGACCAAAGAGAGACAAAAAGAAGAAGAAGCCAGATGATGCGTGTAAAATGAGATGACATTGCTTTGTATATTTACCAAAGCACCAAATCAGAAAAAGCATGAGCTCTGGTGAGCAGTAATGAGCAAGGCAGTGGGGTGACAGTGAACACAACACAGCCAGGAATCCTGGAGCACGTTGCTCTGCTCTTAGGCTCCGTGACTTGAGGGAGCCACCTAGCCTCTCTCTGGTCTGCCTTCTTCAGCTGTAAAATGTGCTGCTATAATCCTTACATAGCTCCCTGACTTGTAAGGCTCACCACAGAACAGTAAAGAAAAGATCCTCGGACAGTAAGTGCAGTGCCAAAGTTAGCTGCAATTATTTTAATAACCTTCATCTGTCTTACTCGATGAGGCAGTTGTCCAAGGAAGGGAGAGGGCACAAACCAATTCTCATCCTAAACCCCTAAACTTAGTTCAGAATTGAGAGAAACATCCAATCCCAAATCTCAGCCAATTCATGAATAATTGGTTTTAACTTTTTAAAAATAACTTCCTTCAATAACACTAAGACATCATGCCATTACTGACCTATAAAGAACTAACTGTACTAGAAATAAAAGTATAGCTCTACAGGAGACCGACTTCTAAGACATAACATTTGCAGCTTAATCTTCTGGTAAGAAGTCTAACATTCCACAACAAGTCATAATTTTTATATCTGTATCAAGGCATGGATTTAGTTCACAAATCAAGAGGGAAATTCACTGAGCAAATTCCAACTCACTCCAGTGCCCCCTTCTACATCTCAGCCTATGAGTGTAGTTTTCCATTAATTGGTTAGTCTTTGATTAATTTTCAAGCACTTTTAATGAGCCAGGCTCTATTCTAAGCTTTAAAGTTTTTATAATTTTATTATTCTTTAGATAACATTTTTAAATTATGAAAGTTTTTAAAAAATTATTGCTATTTCTTTTAATAGTTCCAGTTTTATTTTGCTGTAGCATATGGAGAAAATTCTATTACACAGTGGTACCCTCAAATTCAGGGATTAGTGAGGTCTCTGGCCATAACATCCTGCATGAACTTGATCAAGGGGCCCCAGTGTAGCAAGACCACTCTAGGCTGTGGACAGTGAGAGTTATACACACAGCTAGATACTTTCTTTTCATCTTTGATCTTCATATTCTTGAATGACTATACTGTGGTTTGTACCAAATAGGCACTGGAAAAAACACAAAACAAAGAAGTCTACTGAACGGAAATAACAATGGACTAGATAACCACATGTAAAAACGGGGGAGATTTGTAACTAGGTACTGATGTAGAATAAACACATGTCTGATTTGTGTTATAAGAATACCAGGGAGGCCTAGTCCCTGCCTCTGAGGTATTATGTACTTTCCACAGAGAGCTGTCTAGTGCAGAACGTGCTGGAGTGGCAGTGGACTCCTGCAGGACAGTAGCCACCTTCAGGAGCCTCAGCATAACATCAGACTACTGCAAAGTATCTGTATTAAGTACTACAAACTCAGCTGAAGTACCTAGAGGATTGAAACATCTTCTTAGGAAATATTTATGTTTTGGATATGAGTGAAAAGGAAAACTAGTATGTCATAAGAGTAGAAAAGAAGAGTTGTTCTCCCTGGAATTTTAGCTTACTGCTGCCCCAAGATTTTCTAGAGAAAACTGAATACATTCATTTGTATCCCTGTACTAGTTACCCACTCTGCCTTATGAATTACATTTTTTTTTATATCTAGTTTTAGTCACTGCAAGACTCTTTTGGTGCTAGAATTTATATTATGTTTATGCCTTCCCTCCCACATTTCTTGTCTTATTAAATCACTCTAATGATCTGTAAAAAGCCTGAGGTGAAAGTGCATTCACTTCTGGCCACAGCCTACAGGTGGTGGAACCATGACTCCACCCAGCCTCCCAACTGCCCCAGCATTCTGCAAGACCACCCTTTCCTTGTGACAACAGGTTTGTGTCTGACTAATCCAAACATCGTGCATCTTCTGTAGTGTAGTAATCAGTTTCCTGTCTTCCAGATACATTACTTGGTCCTGGAGGACAGGGACTACTTCTCCTGCTCCCATATGTTCACTTTCATAACACTTATCCTGCCACACTGTGGCTGGTGAGCCCTCCAAGAAAGTCGAAGATAGAAATTGGCCCATCTTGGACCATGCTGTCCCCGACCCAGGAGAGTTCCTGAGAGTTAGGGGGACTCCACTCCCTTGGTGACTCAGAACAGGAAGTGACATCAGAGGCCAGGCATTGTGACAACACACTCCCCAGCTCCCCTTCTAAGCAGATAGGGTGGAGCTCCTGAGGAGGAGGATCCAGGTTGTGTCTCTATCTCCCATAGGACACTGCCTTGTCAAACACAGGGAACTCTCTTTTCCCCTTAAAGACCAAGTTGAAAATTTCTACAAAAATTGTTATTTATTTATTTTTAGTTTTTATTTATTTATTTTTTTGGTACCAGGGACTGAACCCAGGGGTGCTTAACCACTGAGCCACATCCCCAGTCCTTTCTCATAATGCTAAGTTGCTAAGGGTCTTGTTAAATTGCTGAGGTTGCCTTGGAACTTGTGATCCTCCTATCTTAGCCTCCTGAGCTGCTGGGATTACAGGCCAACAACTGCAATTTGATATCAAAACTTTTCTATACCAAATACAAGCTTGCTTTGGCTCAGAAGGCTCGTTAAGGTCTTGGAGGCTGGTGAGATGCACAGGAATTGGCATAGTGCTCTAAATGTGCAGAAGCTCCGATTAATAATTGTGGCTTTGTTTTTATTTTTATTTTTTGAACCGTTTTATTGCAAAACAGAGTGACAAAAAAATTTTTTTAAACCCTGCACAAGTCTATAATGCATTGTTTTAAGGTGATAACTTTGTGACACCACCTTGTAAAATGGTTAAACTGTCAACCACACTAGAAATCCCACCATTTGCCCATCCTAGTCAGAAACCCTTCCTTCTCTGACACTCTGATGTTTATGCTAATCATCTTTCTGCATTTCTTGTATACACTTGGTTAATAAAACTAAGTTAAGCTTAGTCTTATCAATTAAAAAAAATTATGTCTTTTAGTCTTTTAAGTCTTTTTAAATATATAGATTCTCTTCCTTCCTTCCTTTCAGAGTACTACTTCTCATTCTTCTGGTTGTACATAGAGTAATAATGTTCAATACATTCTACAATCCTTCCTACCCCATACCTGCTTCCATTCCCTTCATTCCCCTCTGCCTAAGTCAAAATACCTCTATTTTTCCACAGGTCCCCACCCCCACCCCCTTAGTGTGAATTAGCATCCGCATAGCAGAGAAAACATTTGGCCTTTGTTTTCTGGGGATTAGCTTATTTTGCTTAGCATGGTATTCTCCAGATCCATCCATTTACCTGCAAATACCATAATTTCATTCTTCTTTGAGGCTGAGTAATGTTCTTTATTTTATTCTAACTTGAGATAACTTTCAATTGCTTTCTCCATGGTTATATAAAAAGGGTCTTCCTATCCTTTCATAGTGTTTATTCTCCTCATAGAGAGAAATGCCCAGCATTCCTCTGAAAATACAACTGAACAATTTCCATCAAAGCAAACAAACCTCTTTCCTCACCAGGCCACTGCCTCCTGCTATCCTGTTTAGTCAGGTGCCATGTGAGTTTTGGCAAAAGAGATTAGTGTTCACTTAAAATATTAAATTTTATACTATTTAAGAGACAGAGAAACATTTCTCTTGATTGCTAACTATCAACAATAAATATCTAAATTAACCATACTTGAAAGTAAAGCAGAATGGAAAGTAGTTCATTTTTAATCCCTTGTAAAATACACCCCCTCCAAAAATTCTAAACACATGAGAGGCATTCAGTTTTAGAACCTGCAGACTAATATGCTTTGTATATCAGCTGCAAGATCAGTACCTCATTAATTTCCTTAATGGTGCTAAGGTCGAGTTCGGGTTCTGGCTTCCGGGTGCCCAGTGAAGCTGACAGAGCCTCAAATGCTTGATCGCTCATGGCATCCTGTTGGAAATAAAAAAAATTCTGGTTTGGAGAGAGAAAGAGAGAGAGAGAGAGAGAGAGAGAGAGAGAGAACTTCCCCAGAATGCAAACAATCCATTTACTTCTTTGTGAAATACACATCTTAAATGTATAAGATGCATTATGGATTGGGGAAGTCTTTTAGAGACAATTTTATTTGAAACCTAAGCAAAGAAAGAAAGGAAAAAGAACTTACCAATGAATGAAAAAAAAAAAAAATTGGGGCTAAGACACGTTCTTATAGTAATAGCGCTCTCTCGGGTACACTTTGCCCCTTTCTTTACAAGTTAGAAGTGTGACTGCATTAATAACTATAATACCATAAAATACTCTTATCAAAATAAAAAATGCAAGTAGTAAACTTTCACTACTCTGTTTTTTCTTTTTCTAAAAATGGCTTCTTATAGCCCTATCCTTCAACAAAATAGCAGGGTGGAAAGCAGAGAAACTTGAAAAGGCCCTTGCTGCTGCCTTCTTCTCAAAAGGCACAATGGCTCATCCTAGTAGGAACTCCCACTTTCAGGGTGTGGCACTCACCACTGTTCCCCCAGTCAGTTAGATAAAAATAAACTGTCCACTCTAGGAGGAGAGAAGCAGAAACAGCTCTGATAGAAACTGTCCTCAGCATTATCTGGGCTGCTTATACATGTGACCCGTTTTCTCATTCAGCTCAGGGCTGCAGGATCCCCATTGAGATTTTGTTAGATTAAGACATGGTTGACTGTAGTGAAAAAAGGTGGTCAGAAACAGCTGCCAGTGACATCACTCTAATGATCCAACAAGGCTTGAACTCTTCTAGGAAACTGTACTTAAGATCTTATGTTCCAAGAATCTAATTTCTCTGGTTTCTCCCTTCTATGCGTGGTGGTCAAATGGTCTTAGATCATAACTGTGCTAAAATCATTGATAAGGTCCTATAGAGATACAGGCTTGCCTGTAGATGATCAATCTTTCCATCACTGGCTTCACTATGCCACATAGGCCCAGGCGAGGGAACATATTCCTGATCATGGGTAATGCAAGATCAGACTCAGGGAAGCAACCACTGTCAGTGGGCCAAGGTTCTTTCCCAAGGAATAATTACTGATACCTCCTCCAACTTTCTTTTCTTCTCCTTAGGTGGAACAGCACTTCTGATTACCCCCACTGATTGAGCTTTTAAAACATCTCCTGCAGATTTCTGAAAAATAAAATACCAAAGGTCAGATTGTAGTTAAGGGAGATTAAATCATAATAACCAGAACTAAAAAGTTGTTCTTCTGAATTCAAGAGAGTTTCTATCACGTTCTCCTTAAGAGAACTAAAAGCAATACCTCTTTCTCAGTTTTCTTTTCATCAGCTGTAGGAGAACAGGTAAAGTCAGAAGACAAGGCGTCTATGGCATCATCAGGCCCCATAGGTTTCTAAAGAAACAAGACAGGGTCAGCAACAACACTGGGAGCCATTGCAGGGAGGAGGGGATTACACGCCAAGTGAAGGAAGAATTTACTTCTGCACTCCTTTGCTACTTTATGAGATATACCAATGAAATAACTTTTATCAAAGCCCATATTTGAGAGAATAGATGCTCAGTAAGTATTATTATTCTCTTCCTCTGCTCTAGAAGAATTTCATGGTGGGACACAGTCATTTTATTGATACGTAATGTTTATTTTATCCTAATATCTTCTTGGCTCCATTCTCTTTTCCCTTCAAAGAAACTACCAAAGAAATGAACCACGGACACCACCCTACACCCACCCTCTTACTCTAAATAGACACCATTATCTGATTTAGATCAGTCATGATTTCCAATTATATAAATTGATAGTCCTATTCCCCCAACCAAAGGCATAAATAATATTGATTTACATCTTAGAAGTTATGTAAACTCACCAAAGAGTCTGGAGGAGGCCCTGTGATCCCTTCTTTTTTCTGAAACAGATATGAATTAATTTGATGAGGTTGAGAAGGCAAAATTAATCCTCATGATTGTCAAGATGTATTCTCAGTTTGTGATAAACTAAACTGTGCCTCCCCAAAGCCAGACACTAAAGTCTTAATATCTAGTTCCACAGAATTAGACCTTATTTGGAGACAGGGTCTTTATAGAAGCAATCAAGTAATGGTGAGGTCATTAAGGTAGGCCCTAATCCAGTATGACTAGTGTCCTTATGAAAAGGGGAAATTTGGAACTCAAGATTTGCATGGAGGGAAGATGATAGAAGAAACTCCTAAATAAGATGGCCATCCACAAGCCATTCACAGCCTTCAAGAGGAACCTTGATTCTGGACTTTCAACACTAGAATGGTGAGACAAAAACTTTGTGTTGTTTAAGCCGCCCAGTCTGTGGTACTTTCTGTGGCAACTCCACATAAAGTGAGTTTCTTAATAATGACAATTCAAATGCCTCATTATATTTTCTAACTTCTAAAACCTCTGAAGATATCAACATGAAATTATATTCCAAAAAGGAAACAATGAAATAAATAAATAAATGAGTAAACATAAATAAATAAATAAACATAAACAAATAAATGAATGAATAAATAAATGATTAATAAACTTACAGCCAAAAGTTCCCTGTATTTTGGAGGAATTGTGATTTCTCTTTTACCCAACTCCTCAATATACCTAGAAGTCATTTGATCCTGGAATAAAACCACAAAGATAGAGATATTATGCAATTAATAAGCTGAGAGTGTTATGTGCATGTTCTGAAACCAAAGTACTATTGCATTATTCATTTATGGAACTATGAGATGCAATATAAATCATTAAGAATTTAATACTTAAGCCAGGCATGGTAGCACATAGCTGTGATCCCAGCAGCTCAGGAGGCTGAGCCAGGAGGATCACAAATTCAAAGTCAGCTTCACCAATTTAGTGGGGCCCTAAGCAACTTAATGAGATACTGTCTCAAAATAAAAAAAATAAAATACAAAAGGGCTATGGATGTGAATCAGTGGTAAAGCACCCCTTGATTCAATCCTCAGTATAAAAAATTAATTAAATTAAACAAAAGAATCTAATACTTCACAAATTAGGAGTTCTAAGTTTACAAAAGTATTTGATTAGATTAAGTCACATGTAATACTAGAAAATATTCAAAATACCATGCTAAAGTTGAACTTTATATTAATCAAAATGTATTATTGTTCATATTCAATATCCATTTCTTATCTAATGTCTAAGAAACAAAATTACAAATACAGTGGATATCTCCTGTTTGGATCTCTGCAATCCAATACCCTCGTTACCCAGAGATATCCACAACTTTGAACTTTATCATCTCCATATATTTTAAAAAATTATTACATATGTACATATTCATAAATAATACATAGGATTACTATGAATATTTTCAAATGTTATATAAATGGTGGTATATTCTGTATGCCATTCTGCATTCCTTTTATTTAAAATTACAAAATCATAATGTATCCATGATGATACATGCATAACCCTTTTGTACCACTATAGAGCATTATCCTGTCCTACCTTGAACAAAATTCTTTCCAAAAGTTTCACCAGTTCTTGTCATTCTTTGTACTTTTTGTATTCATGGGCAAGGCTCCACCCCTAAAGAATCATTCTGGAAGTGGACTCTGATTTAAGGAGAGATGTATCTTCATACCCACCAGATACGGGCAAGTTGTCAGACTTTAATGCATTTGTCAATCTGATAATGCAAATGTTGTTTTTATGTGTTTTAATATAATTTTCCTAAATTATTAGGGAGACTTATTTTACTTGTTCATTGTCCAATCACATTTATCCTAAGTTTCTGTTGGCTTGTCTTTTTCTCAGTCTTTTGTATTCTTTATAAACTCTAGAAACTAATTCTTCATTGTATCTGTTGAAAATACTTTTATCTAGTCTGTGCCATATCTTTTTTAATACCAAGAAATACATAATGTTATTGCTTTTTTAAGAATTAGGAATTGGGATGAACTCAGGATAGTAAACATCTAGAAATCAAAGTAAGTTCAAGATGTAGGATTGGAAATAACCGGGCATGAAAATGAGTTCCAGTCCACTGGACTTAAATCTTGAGGACAGAAAATGAGACTTTCAGACCAATGGTCTGTGTTTCAGTCTTAGTACAAATATTTGCTGAAGCAACATATTTGTGTGTCTATCACAGGACAAACCATTCCATCCCCAACACTAATTTTTGGTTGCAATTATTGATAGCAACATCATCCTGCTTCTACCAAGCAACAGAATACTAGGTGTTTTCTTGTATTTGCTGACTAATTTGCTCTCCTTTCCATTGAATATGAACTTCTACAGATATCAGATCACATACCAAAACTTCTGGTCCAGTGTATGTTGTATTGTCATCATTAGTTTCTTCTGGTTCTCCTAAAGTGTCTATTAAGTCATCCAAAGCAGCATCCATGCCTGACTGGAAATGAAAAAAAAAAATAGTTATTTAAATGTTATTTGTTAAACGTATTTCAGTTTTGATTTTTTAACTACAAAAAACGCTTACTCATTCTAAGAAAATATCAAACACTAAAAGTTCTTCAAATGCTAAAATCGTCTTAAATATGATCTTATTATTTATTTGAATCCCCAAATACAGATTCTGTATTGGAAAGATAAAAAGCCAGATAAGAATCACAATTTTAACGATTTCAAAGGGCAGTAACTACATAAATAAATGCACAAGTTTATTAAAGCTCCAACCCAGTGAACTGACAGTTATAAAAGAAAAAGAAAAACAACAAAACAAATACAAAGAATTATGACCATGCTTCTATAACAACATGGTATTTGGTATTTATTGCTTATCAATTTTTTTTGCAGAGTTTTATACAAAGAACCCCTGCAAAATCTCTAGATAGCACTCCTTTCAAATTGAATCTCTCTCAAAAATAGATTTTCCTGTATTCTTTCATTCATTCATTCGTGTGTGTGTATGTGTGCATGTGTGTTTTATTCACTTGCTTACCCCCAACTGTCTACAAAACAGAAATCACCTGAAATACATGTTAAAAGTTATAAGAGGGCTGGGGATGTGGCTCAAGTGGTAACACGCTCGCCTGGCCTGAGCGGGGCACTGGGTTTGATCCTCAGCACCACATAAAAATAAAAGATGTTGTGTCCACTGAAAACTGAAAAATAAATATTAAAAAAATTATCTCTCTCTCTCTCTTCTCTCTCTCTCTCTCTTTAAAAAAAAGTTATAAGAACTGACAGTTCTGTATTCTGTCTACATGGGTTTAAAGCAATATAACAAATGAGAGGGAGCTTTCATCTTATTTTTGAGGTTGAAATGACTCATTGTGAACAATAATCCAAATCTGAAGGGGAAAAGAAAAGTCTGGGGAAAGACTCTTTACTATTTAACTTAGATTAAAAAGGATTGCTTAAAATGCTTGCTTTTTTTTCCCCTGAAACTATGATATTCACACAAAAATTTTAGGACCCACCTTATTATTGATATGTGTAATAAAAATTAAGGCCTGTTAGCTTTGGGCTAATTTTTTTTTGTGGGGGGGCAGACTTCAAAACAAAGAAATACCTTATATTCTTTAGTGATACATCTGGTTAAGTAAGATATATTTACAGGAGAGAAATTAGAACATGAACTCCATGAAATGAAACTAGCATTTGCAAAGTAGAGTGTTATAATATAAAATGTTACAACAAAATTAGCTGTGAAAGTCATGCATATAGCCTAGTCATATTTGCTTAAAATCATTCATTAAAATGGTCCTTTAAGTTGCTCCTCTCATATTGTTTGCCCACAAGAAATCAGATTGAGATAAATACAGAGCAGAGGCTGGACATGTAATCTAGAAGTGCACACCACCGCCATACCTTTTCAGATATCTTTTCTGGTTTGGATTCAGCTGCTACAGTTGCTGTTAATAATTTCTTTTCTTTTTTCTGGTGGGAATTTAGAAAGACATTAAAACTCCTTTTCACATATCTTTATAAAACGCAATACTATTCCATACTTTAAGATGAATTCATTGCAACATTAATAGCATCGATCATATACTCAACATCTGCTCTGCACCTGTCACATGTTATTTTGTATGTGTCATATACTTTTTCAGAACTCTTTAAATAATATTAACCTTGATTAGTCGCTCTTCTCAAGTTACATAGTAAGAGACAGAATCAAGGTTTGAAATCGAGGACTGTCTGTCTCTTTCTCCCGGATACCTCTCTAAGGCCAACTGCCAGTTTTTGCAACACCACTGGATTCTTTCTGTAGGCTGCCACACACGTCTAGCTGTGACTCTCAGGGTCTCCACCACAGCTCTGACCCCATATGAAGACCTCTATGTCCCTTGCTATATCCCTTGCTAATATCTCATCACTCAAATTTCCCCACAATGAGTTTCTCTCACTCTCACCATTTCTGTAGTTCCTCTCTCAAAGACTTTCAGTAATTTTCCAATCTGCAGCCTAGGTGACTTTATCTAGATGTAATCTCTCAAGTTTGATCCTGGGAAGCATCCTTGTGACTCTCATCAATCACAGTTGCCATAACCCAGCACCATCCTTATTCTACTCAGTGTTTATGTCCTTTGTTCTCTGTCACATTTGGCATCACTTCTGCTTCACCCCCAACTGCACACATTGTACATGTTCCTGTTCTGTGCTGTGCTGGCGATCTTACCTCAAACCATTCTCTAGCACCAGGCTTCAAACATTTTCTGGGCTTGGCAGCAACTAAATGGGTGAAGTTGTTGGGTTTAAGACAATAGGTGACGGTGTCTCATTTGAAGGTATCTGAATTCCAGGGGCAGAGCACAGGTGAGGAGCATGGGCTCCAGGTACTTGGCTTTGCCTGCCAATCATGATTTACATGGTTGCTTGAGACTTGGGAAGTCACTACTCCTTCTGTCTTTTGGTATTCTCTTGTGTGAAGTGGGGATAATGACAGTACTATCTCAGGGGTTATGGGGATTAGATAACATATGTAAAGTATGAAAACCAGTGCTGGGCCCTTGCAAATCACCGTGTAAATATTTGTTATATAATTAAGAGATAAATAAATAATTTCTGTGATTGGGATGCTTAAAATACTATGGGGACCACCACCAGGGTGGGTGTCAGAGTCTAGACAATTGAAACACCTTCCAAATCGAAACTACTTCTGTGATTCAACTACCACCTCATGCACATATGCACTCATATTCTCTCTCCTAATTTCCTCCTCCTCCTTCCCCTTTCTCTCTCTTTCTCCACCCACTCTTCTGATTTCTGTATACCTGTCAAAGGTAACCAGGAGCCCAGGGACAGAATTGCAAGGTTCCTGCTTACTACACAAGGGGATACTCTCAGGTGCTGACCCCTGCTCTTGGGCTAACCTGACAATGAGCACCTCCTTCAATTTTGTGTCCTAGACACCTCTTCTGCCTCACCTTAGGGCGCCCAACTTAGTTTAATCTATCCTAGGATATCCTAGATCCTACTTTGCCTTTGTCCACTTTGGCCCACTGTTTCCTAAAACCTGGAGATTTTATCTCTGCAATGCCTCTTGCCTAACTCCCCAGTCTCTTATTCTATAGCAGCTCTAACTTAGGCTGACCTATGAATTACCAGGACTATTAAAGCACCCCTTTACCAACCTTCTACCTTCCTATTTCTACCTATAAACTCCCCTTGGCATTTTCCATGGCAGCCCTAACCTGTCTTTCTAGTTTTACAGGCCCACCACTCACCTCCTGCTTCATCACACTAGAATGTGTTTTGTGCACAGAATACATCTTAAACTTCCAACACACGTGGAAGGGTTTGCAAGGCTGCAGTCCTAGATGTTTTCCATGCCTAACTCAAGTGGGATCTACCCTCACAAAGTGCTTGTGGATGCCTGAGTCAAACAAAGCCTTGCTTTCATCATCAAATAGCTCTCTGTAAGGGTCTTTCTTAATTTTCCCTGAACTGAAGACCAGGTATACTATCTTCTCCTCAAACCTCAATGGGCATGTTCTACAGAGTCAACCGTGGTGCTTCAAGTACGGTATGTACTAAAATAAGAAGGCAGACTTTATCAATCTTATTTAGTGAGGGAAGAATCGGGGGCAAAGAAAAGCGAAATGACTGGGTTGCAAATTCCAGCACAAACCAGTGTGCAACACAATTCCACACAAGCTTCACCTGGTTTTATTGTTTAGTGTTCCCTATAACATGAGCTAATTTATATCTAGGATAAAACTTCAATTTTTTACTGCATTTTAAAATGTATTCAAAATGTCTTAATTTTCTGCCTTAAATCACTTTTCAACCTGTTTCATTTAAGCACTTCTCATTGGTTTAAGACAGTAATATGTATTCCTGGGGTCAGGGTGGGGGTCTCAAGGGCATAAACAAGAGACCTATTGCAAGGAAAGAATAATCAAGATGGATATTGCCATTTACAAATTTTTGTAATTTTTGCCTTAACTCCTTCAAAGATCTGAGTTTGGATAAAAATAATGTGACCTTTCTCCCAAAATCTGAGAAAGAATAACATCCAGAGAGATGCGCTATCCTTTCCCTTGACTTCCCTTCTATCTAGCCCACCAGTAAAGCAGGAATATAAATAAATACATACTACTGCTTTTCTATTTTCTTTTCCATCTTCTCATTGTTGCTTCAGTTGCTTACTTGTGGCTTCAAACTGACTACAGGTCCTCTAAACTGATTGCTCTGTTCTGAGTAGAAAAGGTAAACTACTACTCATCTCGTATTCCTGGACTAGATTCTGAAGTGGTTCAAAGGCCCTGAGAAAGGATTGCCAGGAACCAGCCAGCACAACACATAAACTTTCTTCTCAGGGAGCCTGTTATGTCCTCTTTGGAAACATCCCTTGTCAATTCACGTCGATGTCATGACTGTGATTACCAGTATCAAGGTAACTGGTGTCAACAGTGAAAGCTGAGAGTAATGGGTATTCAAAGTCTCATGGAAATTTTATTTGCTTTTTATTTCATATCCATAAATTTGGAAGGCAGGATCTGCATCAACTCACATTTTAATTTCCTTGGCATTGATACAGGTCCTTATGTGCTCAATATATTTATTGACTATATGAATTTTAAAATCATTTTAGCACCTTGTTTGCTTTATATCCCTAAATGCATGCTCTTCTTCATAAAACTTAACATAAACAACATTAAGTTGGAAAAAGTGATAAGTTATCTGAACATATGTTTCTTATAAAAGAAACCTGATAAGCACAGAGGCCTACCTTTTATGTTTGCTTATGTGTGCTCACCTTGTCATCTGGTTTGATAGTTGTTGCAGCTACACCAGCAATAGCACTCTCTCCACCAGCAGAAACAGTGTCTTGTGATTTGGTCTGAGAATGAGGAAAAAGATTGATAGGACTAAGTATCTTTGACTATTACCAGGATCATGAATTTCAAATGTCACTATTACCTGTCAAGTTTTCCTATTGGAAATCATGAGAAAAGACTGTTAACTAGCTTTACTGCACCTGGTGCAGTACTTGGAACCACAAAGAGCTGGCCTCAAGGCCTCCAGACTCTATGCAGATCACACAAACAGGCAGATGCCATTACACCGGGTATGTGTGCCCCCGTGTATATGCACCAGGTAGAATGGCTCTAGTTGACTTTTGCTGTGTGAGTCCCCTGTTGCTAGATACTCCGGTTCTTCAAGAGAAGTTAGAAATTGAGATTTTAGGTAAAATATCTTGACTTTAATGATTGGCAACTAACTAAAAACAATTACACATGAGGCTGCATTTAACTGGGAAGTCTCAAATTTGTAAAGTCTGATGTAAAATAAATTGCAAAATAGGCCTAGTTATTATCTTCCAAGGACTGATAATGAAGAACAATTTTTTTCTCCTAGATATTTATTCTGCATTAAATATAAAATTATGGAGTAAATTCCTGATTTTTAGCTCTATAAGTTCATCTCTTATACAACAAGACTAAAAACACTTCAAGACTTCCATATAAAGAAGCATATAAGGCTGGGTATGATGGAACATGCTTGAAGGCCCAGCTGCCTGGGAAGCTGAGGCAGGAGGATCACTTGAACCCAGGAGTTCACGGCTCGCTTGGGCAACATAGTAAGACGTGTCAAACAAACAGACAACAAACGAAAACGAAGCAGATAATACAAGGCACCTGTATTCTCCTAGCCCAGGTTTCAGTGGGTCCAGGAGGAAGCTACAATTCAAAGTTTACTGTTTGGGAACCCAAGTTTCTACAAGGCCATTTGTAAAACTGATAAAATAATAGCATCAAGTCATTACAATACAAACTATATTCAGCCCCAGAGATTCAACTATACAACACCTCAGTGTGAATAAGGGAACTATATCTTATTATCTGGTTGATGTGAGTGTTTTTGTATCTATCAACCTGCTTTATTTACCTTTGGTTCTGTTGATTTTTCTGATGTCAGCTGCTCATTTGATTTGGAAACTGCTTTTTCACTGTGAGCATGCTTGCCTCCTTTATCTGATGCATGCTTGGGTAGACTTTTTGGCTGAAAGCACACACATGTACACACACACATGCAAAAACATTTTTAACTTGATGGTAGTTTTAAACATATACTGATACTTTTCTTCACAGAATAAAACTGCTCATAACAGTTGTGCTGTCTGTGGCTTTGAATCATATGAATTTGAATTAGAGTAATGTAAATGTGACAAAAACTTCATTTTAGGTATAAAATTTGAAATGGCACAAATTCTACCTCCCCATAAGCAAGAAATCACTTGAGTAAATTGTGAACACTCCTATAGCCACATGATGGCACCATTTTAGCTGATAAAACATTTCAGTAATTGACAAGTGTGTCTCAAAAGATAAGAGATTTTAAGTACACTACAGGGAAAATATAATCTTATAATATCATGTCCTAATGATAATCATTTACCTCCGTATGCTCCTTTGGCTTTCCTTCTTGGGGTTTTTTCTCATGAACCACAGACGTCTATTGAATCCAAAAGATAAAAAGTCAGTTGTATTGGAGTCCATTGTTTTAATAATTCCAAACAAGTTCAAAAATATAATTTCCCACTTAAATCATTTGTCTCTCTCAAGAAAAGCTCACTCAGAACAGTTATTTGAGATCACAGGACGTGTGCTGTCTGGTCAAATACACCTTTCTCTACACTACTAGCTATTTTTCATAATCCATGCAGATAAATTGCCAACTGCAAGTCTAACTATGGAAAGATTAAATGATCAGCATGACCACTAAATCTGTTGACCAGGGAATCCCACTCTATAAATTAAGTTTTTAGAAATCTTTCATAAGAGATGAAGAATGCTGTAGCTTTTTCTCTGTTACAAGCAGCAAGATCATATCACCAGATACCCAATTCTCTGGCGATTTTATAGATAATCATAAACACCTAAATGTGGACTAGAAGAAAATTTCCACCCAGCCACTGCATTCTTCTCTCTGGAGCTCACTATTTGACCACCATCCTCAGGGACCACCAAGAGGCCTTCCACAAGATCAATACTTCAGCCCAAAGCATCTCAGCTTTACCATAGAAAATCCTGTAGACTTAGCTCAGTTTTTGCTTAAACATCTAAAAAAAACAAAGCACAGCACTTTATTGAGGAGAAACTTGTGTGTTGGGGCAGACACCCAAGGATCCACCTCCATGCGGAGGCACAATGGCTTTCAGTCTGGAGAGCATGAGTCAAGAGAATCTACTTCAGGGAAAGGCTCCTGAATGACTGAGAGCCGGCTCCACCAGCCAGGCAAGGCTCAAGACTAGCCTAGCTGGATTCTTAGCAAAGACCCTCATCCTTACACTATCTGGGGCCAGGTTCAGCAAACTCATTATTCTTGATGATTTGAGCTATAATTGCATACTCACTCCTTTTGTCCTGTCTCCTTTGTTTATATATATATATATATATATATATATATATATATATATGTATATATATATATATATTTTATATGTATATGTATATATGTATATATATGCATAATATAATTATTACACTTAAAAATACAGTGGTGAATATGTCTTCTGAAACATATTACTTTTACTTATAAAATACTCTACATTCTTTTTAGCAATATATAGATTTAACGTTTTAAATATTTTACATATACTCTATCCAATCATATTCAAAGGGTAGTCCAAAGTTAGTTGACAAAGCCCTTTACCATGGCACCAATGTAGGAAATTTATTATTATTATTAAAATGAATCTGAATAACTTATTAGCCAACTTAACTCTTTTACCTTAGTTGATGGTGACTTCTCAGGTTCTGCAGGGTCTGTTTTCACAGCCTAAATTCAGATTTAAAAAGAAAAAGAGGAAGAAAGAAAAGGAAGAATGAAGAAAATAAAAATGAATATAGTTTATAAAGATTATATATTTTATTCAACTAACTAAGCTCAAAAGATGATTTTGATGTTATTATAAATACAAACTTTATGAGTTAATTTTATGACACTTTGCTTGGAATTATAACTCTTTAGATAGATAAATACTTGAGTGCATTAATAATATTTTGCTCTTACTATTTATATTTATATTTAATTTAAATCTTATTTTTCTGCTATGTGTATCAAAGAAGAGTAAAAACTCATTACCATTAACATTGTAGTATGAGAAGCAACATACAATAAAAGCCCTCATCCTTCATACTTAGGGGTGCTATATTTCAAAGTCATTAACATGAAGGTTTTATCAGTGAAATACTTACCACTGGGTTTTAGCTAAAAGTGTGAAAACAATGGGATGGTGACAGAATCAAGGGCACAGAAAGCAAGGAAATACATTTTTTAGTGCCAGATTGACTGTGGCTGATGAATAGTGAAGCCTATGAAAAGTCCAAGATGGAGTCAGAGCATTATGGAAGATTGTGAACTGTAATTATTAGGGTGTGCTGAGCAGCTTAAGTGAGCGTTAGTTAACAGAGATGCCCTAAAACAATGAACCACATCACCTGTTTTTTGTGTCTTTTCTTGTTAGGAGGATGTGGTCCTTCCATCTGTTGGCTGATTGGAATTGCCTAATATATAAGAGCACAGCCCCAAGTGTGATTTTATTTTATCTGACAGTCAAACAAGTACATCCATAAAAAGTGCTCAAATGTTTACTTTGAGATCTGCTCTACTTATCCAGTCATCTACCCAATACATATGTTTAAATTTCAGGAAGATGTAGGCACATGACCTTTTAAGGTCCCTGGCATATATTTCAGTTTGGGTTTACATTTTTTCAGTGAAGATTTCCAGTAATAAAATTAATTTCTCATTCCTTTCCCTTCCCTTCTCTATGTAAAGGCTGCTTGAGCAATATTTCTTCTAGTTATGTTTTCAATATTTGGCTATAAACTGTATAGTCATATACGGTTTAGTCATAGGTGTTGTCAAAAAGTTTTCTGAAAAAAAGTTTTCTGAAATTACATTAATATGATTTTAAAATAATTTTGTAAATATTTAGTATGGATATTTATTGTACATGTCATTGTCCTACATGCAGAGACCTAATTTAAAGTTCTTCTGAAGAACTGTCTACAATTTAGGACCTTAGTATAATATTTGTTGACAGAGTTTTACCCTACTAAAGGTTTCCTGTGGAAAACAAAAAACAAAAAGATAATTATAAGTATATTCTTGATGTAGGTAAAGTATGAAATCAGGAATAAAACTTGATTAAACATTTTATAAACTTTTTTTCAAAATGAGAGATTACAAATTAAGCCTAATAATTCATGTAATTTCTTTCCTTCTTTGCAATTTGATAATATCAGCACAAATTTGTATTTTTAATCATCTGAAGAGGTTAAAGCCAAATATCTTCTTAATTTACTATGTCTTTGCTATAGTAGTGAAGACATATTCTCCCTCACAAAATGACCTCTTGTTATAGCAACACACTATTGTTTGGAGAAGAAAATGAAGTTCATGATCAAAGAAATATTTTAAATTTTTTTTTTAAATTTGGGATATTTTCACACTGTATCCTTGCTAATGAGTTTCTGTTTATGCTACTGTTAATGCATCTTCTGTTTATGCAAGTGCACTTTATTAAGTGATTAACAAGGAAAATAAGCCAGCTGGTATTGTAGTGGTTTGAATCTATTAGTAGCTTCCAATTTACAATTTGGCACTTAACATTTTTTCATGGGAGAATTCTATACTACAATTAAAAATGTGTGTTCACAGACAGAAGCAACTTGTCATGCAATGTGCATTTATATCAGTAACCACTGAACTTATTTTTGGTAGTTGTTGGTGCTGAATATAATGTGATGATAAAAAATAATAACTAGTGCTTATCAATCATCCCTTACATACCAGAGATATGTTGTAAGCTTTACATGTGTCAACTCACTCAACTACCCCATGAGATAGACCTTGGCATTATACTTAATTTTTCAATGAAAAATTGAGGTTAAGGAAGTTAGATTACTTCCCAAGGACACCTGTGATAGAGCTGGGCTTGAGTGTTCTTAGTCACTGAGCTATGTTGTCTCTCCTGTGTTGGCCAATAACCAGCTCACACTGGCAGTGGGACAGGCATGATAGGTTTGTTTCTTTATAGAGTCTTATGAAATATATGGCACTATCATTTTCCTTTAAGCTATATAGGCAAGGAAACAAAAGCAAACAGGGGTTGTCTAATATCATAGCTGGTGTAGAGTCAGGATTCCAAGCCAGGACATCTGGCTCCAGTGTCCGCAATACACAATTTCTCAGGGATTTCATTGTGATTAGAAATTATTTGATTTTCCATCTTATTCTCAACACCATGAACATGGATTCTAATATTCCAGGGAAAAGAGATATAGAAGACAGATCTAGACATAACATTTCAGAGATAGACTTACTTTTATTTTACAGTTCAGAACAAGACAAGAATTTAGTGTAAGCATTATCTTGAATTAGCATCTTTTCTCTGAAAGCTCAAGATATTTGGAGACAAAACTCATTAAGCTCAAGCTCTCAAAGATATTCAAGAGGAGGCTAAGAAAACTTATGAAATATCAGAAGCACAAACATCAATGAGAGCAGTGTGACTGAAATATATAATGGAATGAATTGAATCCACAAGTGGTCCCCAGTCACCCACCAGTGATATCACATCATGTGAATCTTATTTTTGTCTCTCCCTCTCTCTGTCTTATCCTTTCCTTCTTTCCCCTGGTTTCATAGGACTGCCAGGAATTCTCATGATTAAAGCTCAGTGATGCCTGAAGAGTTTGCTGGCACTTGCTCTAGAACATTGGGCATACATGATTATAAGCACCGGAACTTACACTGAGACACAAGGGGATTGCAGTTGAGTTACGAGTTAAAAGTGAATCAAAAAGGTGACACAGTGGTTCACTCCTATAATCCCAGTGGCTTGGGAGGCTGAGACAGGAGGGTCACTGGTTCAAAGCCAGCCTCAGCAATGGTGAGGTGCTTAGCAACTCAGTGAGACCCTGTCTCTAAACAAAATACAAAATAGGGCTAGGGATGTGGCTCAGTGGTTGAGTGGCCCTAAATTCAATCCCTAGTAAAAAAAAAAAAAAAAAAAAAAAAAGTGAACCAAAAGAGTAAAAAGCCACCAGAGAACATTTTTATTTTCCTTCCATAAAATTCCATAAAATAATTAAAAGAATAAATCCAAAATAGAGCTCAACAAAAGTTTACCAATAAGGTGATATCTACACATGACTCTGGCCCTCCCTTTTTTCTCTTTACTTAAATTTTCATTAATTTTAAACTTGAAGAGAATTTTTTTTTTGTAAATGGTTCTCCTTTAATTTCTTGAGATTATTCTAGATTAAGACTGAATTTGAGGATGGGAGAGTTATGGGTGTAGCTCAGTGGAAGAGCACTTGCCTTGCATACACAAGGCCCTCAGTTCAATCCCCAGCACCAGAAAACAAACAAGATGGTTTTTCAATTTTTAAATATTATTTGATATAAATTGTGACAGCTAATAGATTAATCATAGATCATATAATGTATATTTTGAATATAATTAAGAATTCAATGTAAATTAAAAGTGTGATATAATTTTAGATAAAAATATATTTAAGAATTAAAACAGATACTAAATGACATTTATAAGAGCTTAGATAAATGGACACGTTGTTTCCAGACCTTTGCAATGTTTTAGTTCAAGATAATGCCTTGGAATCCCTGATAACATTAAATTATGGTGCCATTTCCCCAAGGATAGCAAACTAATAGCAAAGTAACATGGAAGACAGAAAGCAACCAACCATATCTGGTAATTTTAAACAAAGCAAATAATGGGGCTTAGTTTTGAAGGCACTAAGGAATAGGCTTAGGAGTTGAGAACATTTTCAAAATGCCCCTTCTTTAAGCTCCACCTTGAAATAGTGCCAAGAAATAGAGTTTGGGGCATAGTAACTAAAAGCCAGGGCTAAGACAGCTTCAATCACCACTCAGAACTAGTTCACTCCATGTGACAAGCCCACCAGAGAACTTTTTTAAAAAAAATTTCCTTCTGAAATTCTATAAAATAATTATAAGAATAAATCCTAAATAGAGCTCAACAAAAGTTTACCAATAAGGTGATACCTCCACATGACTCAAATTTTCAGAATGTAAACACAGAAAACATCTGAAATAAGCAGTATATGTTTCCTTTGTTCTTTGTTCTCTTAGTGTAATCTTTCTCATTTTTAGATTTATTTTTAAATGTCCAAAACAGTAAGACCACCTTAGTAAAGGTTTAAGAATTCATATTCTTATTTAGGTTTAAAACTGTACTTGGAGAGATTATCTTCAATTCAAAAAACTTAAGTAGAGAGAGAGAGAGAGAGAAAAAAAAAAAGCTCTAGATGATTACTCCTTTCTAGAGAGTATAAAGCACTGTCTATAAATAATGTTCAAAGTAAATATTACAAGGAGAACTGAATTCCCAAAGACCCCACAAATTAGGAAGGAAATGTTTATTCTCATAGCATAAGCTTCTGAGGACACATAATTCACCAGTTAACAATTATTCTACATTTGATTCACTTATATATCATATAACCAAGCTAAAGTAGCATTCACTCAAGTTGACCTTGAGAGGTCTTCCTACCTTGGTTTCTGTGGGATTCATGGTGGAAGATTTGCTGGTTGTACCAGAGGAAGTTGACACCTAGAAAGGAAAGAAAGAGAATGTCTGATTCTATGTAACCCACAATCTACATTGTCCTTCAACTCCTCTTAAGCACCCTGCATTCAACTCTTCACCTTTACCCAGTGTAGAGCCCCATATTCACAAAAATTCAGTTGGTGGTGTTGCCCAGTGGATAAAAGCCTTTGTAACTAGGTTAAAAAGAATACATAGGGCTCAAATGTGGGGTCTGTTATTCACTAAATAACCTTGGCAAGTTATTTAAATTTCCTGATCTTCAGTTTCCCATCCTCAGTATTTCTTCAGTAGATAGTAACTCCATTTCAAGGCTGAATACAAGAATTATTGTAAGACATATAACTGTATGATAAATGTTATTAAAAATACTGTTAATACTGTTTTTACAATGAATATTGACTCTGAAACTTGAAAGAACTTCTTTTCAAATCTAAGCTCCTAATTACTAAGCTCTGTGTCTTTGAGCCTTGGTTTTCCAAATTTATAAAAAAAAAAAAGGTCAATAATATCTATTTTGCAGGGTTGTAGGGTTGTAGAAGTATTCAAGATAATGTGCATAAAATGTTTGTTACACTGTAAATATTCATTAAATTACTAGTGCATTACTTCTAATACATTATGTAAAATAGAAGGAGCTGGAAACAATTTCAGGAAACAGACTTGGGTGGATAAGAATCATCCTTTCAGTGTTACTAAGGAAGAGAAGGTAGGAGATAGAATTGCAGAGGGAATTTTGATGCATTATTTGTCTAATCTAGGCCCCTCCTCAGAGGTTATCAATATTAAGAGCAGTTCTCAAAAAACACTCTTCTTAGGGATGCATGTGGGTGGTGAAATCCTGCATGCTAATCATCTAAGCAGTGGGGATTAGATATTTACATGACATTGAGTATTATTCTCATACTTAACTTGTACTAGTTAATAATAAATAGAAAATTATTGCCTTTGCAAATCACAACGGGGACTCACTTAAACCTCCTCAACATCTGAGTCCATTAGGCCTTGGAGCCCAGAAATTCCATCCAGCATGAGTTGCCTTCTTAAGCAACTGGCTGTCAGTAAACAACTGTTCCCTTGCCAACAATACCCAGGAAAGCCTACACTATGGACCTCACCCTGTCTCTAATGCCTGGCCCTGAGCCACTTCAGGGATGAGTCAGAGGGCAGCATCCCTGCTTCTCCTTTCTCCCTTCCCTTCTCCTACCCCCAATGCACTGTCACTCAAGGTAGCTATTTAAAACCCACTATAACCTATGAGCCATAAACAAAATCACCTTGTCCACAGACCTTAGTTAATGTAGAACATGTTGATGGTCAGAGTTAAATTACCATGATCACAGATAAAAACCCAATGTATTAGTACACTGACTTTTCAAATATGATCATATGAACGTTATCTCCTGAATACTCTTAGGCACCAATCAGGCATCACCCCACCACCAACCACATACACATGCCCTGGTTACTGTAGCAACCTCTCTCACATTGCTTTTCAAGGTAAAGAACTAGAAAATGTGCCGAAGGTAAATTTTCCTCCCCATCAAATCAAGAGAAAATCATGAATGTCCATTTCTCCTTGAGATTAAAATTTGAGGGGATTAAAATACACATGTTCTATCTTTCAACAATTAGAATTTGTTGTACAAATTTTTATTCGAAAAGAAGTTCTACTTTTCTATATGATTTCCTCCACCATATGAAAACCATCATAGAAACCAAATACTTTCAAACAAAAAAAGAAAGAAAAAAAATACTTCATATGAAAGTGCTTATTAAGCTGAAAATCTTTAGGTGAATATTAACTTATTTTTGAAATATCCAAATATATTAAAACATTCATAAAATAACCTAGCTTTGGATTGTCCAGCCTTCCTTATTACTTTATTAAACAATAGCTGAACGTAGGTTTCAAATCCTGGAAAGGAGAAGACTTTGAAAGAGCCAGGAACAGACAAATTTCTATATAGAATAACTATAAATAAGCACAGAGCAGGTTATAATGGGAATTTAGCTGAAGACCTTGGCCCCACCTGTTCACAGCATAGATTCCTTTGTAAGAGTTTTATCCCCTCACTAAAAAGCATGAAGCATTTTGAAATTGAAATATGAAAGCTGATTCATGAGGACAAACATAAGGAAAATGACTCCAACCCATTGTTAAAACACTCCACTCTGGCTTATTCTAGCTTGTTCGATTTTTATTCTATGGTAAATATAAGCAATTTTAATATTTGTAACTTCAAGTGAAGGACTGAATATCCTTTCCCTTAAAATTCTTTTGTACTGTTTGAATTGCTAATCATGGTGTGAATAACTACTATAAGTAAAAAATTGTAAAAAGTCATACTCCATGTATGTATGTCAAAATAAACTCTATTGTCATGTATATCTAAAAAGAACAAATAAAAGCAATCAGGCAAAAAATTAACCCCTATAATTTGAAGAGAAGAACCTCAGTGATATCCTTATTAAAGATTAATATACATACTTCAAATAGATAAGGAAAACAGAATCTCACGTCAAGGGCTCACCATAGTTCCCTGGCTCCTCAGGTGTTTACCTGTAACACAGTTTATGTCAGGTACTTTATTAGGTGCTGGGGACACTGGGCTAAAACCAACAGACATGCCTCTGCCCTGGTGAAATTTATAGCCTCATTGGAGATGACATTAGTAAAGCAGTCATTCCAATCACTACTCACTACAAAAAAAAAATCACAGGGTCCCCTGAAAATACAGACTAGAAGGCCAGAATTGGTTCAGGGGACAGTTGAGGCAAAAGAAGCTGAGGATGTGACAAGATTATGTGGTAAGTGAAGGGTGCTGGGCAAAAGGCTGGAGAGGAGCATTCCATGCATGAACACTCTAAACTGCTATAAAAGAGCTGGGATCTGCAGGCCATCTGATTTCTAAAACAGTGTCCCTCCACCACAGTGCAGTTCAGCAGTCATGTGAACATCAAGGAGCTGTCAGTGTTTAAAGCACAATCAACCATGCTCACATACACCAAAATAACTCTAAGAGATTAGCACTGTAAATCAGAGCAAAGTACAGCTGATAACAATACTTTCCTAAATGACCCAAGCAAATTTCTTAATATTCAGAGTACTAACAGCCCTTTATTAACCTGTATTAAGGCATAAATCAGAGTAACAAGTAACAGAGGTAAAGTGCTTCATATAAATCATTCTCTACCTACCTGCTCAACTAACAATTGTTATATAAGCCAGGGGTTGAACACACTCTGTGAATAAGAAACAACCATCGCCTTGGTGGAGTTGAGTTCAATGAGAAAAATGGATATTAAGCACACTTATATTACAACTTAAGTGGTCCAGAGCAGGCACAAAGTGGTCTCCCACTTGAAAAAACAAATATTTGAGTTCTAAGTTCCAGGTCCATCTCAAATAATCTTACTGCATTGTCCAGTTGCATTAAAATAAAGCAATATTGATAAGGCTTCAGTTAAAGTCCAGAAAAAAATGAACACTTAATCCTTTACTCAACCAACACGATATGTAATTTTCTGGCATTCTTTAACTAAGTTTCTTTAAAATTGTTTACTGGTTACAGGAAGAATTTTGAAGATTTTATCACAATAAATGATTAGAGATAAGAGGGGAAGATTATATGCCTTTAAAATCCACAGAAAATGGAAACAACTTTCTTTTTTCACACTATTTTCCAAAGATTTCCCAGTCTTCAGATTTTGGCTCTACCACCCCTCTGCTCAGACTCATTGTCCCTCATGCTACTTGTGAACACACATCTGAAGTAGAACCATCAGACTCCTATAGTTCACTGTTTAACACAGAAAACACAGAAATGCTTTCTCCTGCCTAAAGGCCCCCAACTCCAATCTCTCCTCATCTCCCAATGCAATGAACACAGCCCCATACGGACTTGGGGCACATTTCACTCATCTTTCCTTTACCTTTTTCACACAAATGCCACTGGTTTGTACGCTTCTACCCAATGTATCCAAAGCTTCGATACCCTTTAAGGTATCCCATTGGCTCGTGTCCTGGCATTGTAACTTCTGCACCACGGCAGACAGTCTTACTGAGCACACTCCTGCAGTTCCAATTGGCTTCCCCATAATACCATGGAGAGGCAATTTGTGATACTGCATCATGGATGAACTGTCTCCCACTAGATGGGGCCCCTTTAAAAGAACAGTCAGTTGGGTACACTACCGTGTTGACCTCCATTTTTACTGACTGCAGGTCTCTCTCCTTGAATCTTCAGGTGGTTGAGAGAGCCTACTTAAGAAGAGAAGCAAGACCCAAGACAAACTTCAACCATCTTGCAAAGCTGAATGGGAGTGGAGAGGGGTTTGAGGTCCTAGGAAATGGGTCAAGGTGGGAGGATAGGGCTTCTGTAGAAGAGGTGGACTCTTAGAATTTGTCTGCTTAAGTATTCTTCTGCCATCAAACCCAGCTGAAGGGAAATTTCCTCAGCCCCTTACTTCTCTACCACCTATTAGAATGTTTTCACCTCTTCCTTGAAACCCCGACAACTCTCAACTTTTTCCTAAAAGTTCCAGCTGGTTTATGGGAATCCTCATTACCTCCCCTCTGACCACTCAGCTTCACTTTGATCTCTGCTCCTCCCCAGCTGGCTTGGGTTAGAAAGTGCATGTGGAGTGGGGCCTCAGATGTGCCAGAGTTCTTTCTCCTCATGCCAGAGTCTGCTTCCTTTCCCCACACCATCTTCTGGAAGCATGCCACCTGCCTCACTAGTCACCCCTCGCACACCTTCATCTGTTTGTTGAGGATTACTAAGAGCATCAGGCTGAGTGCATGACTCTCTCATAGTGCCTCAGCAGTTAACTGTGAGTCACTGACCATTTTCTTCCCATTGGCTGCTATGCACTGGGGGCCCAAGGTTCTCTCCCCATACCTCTGAACTGCCTTCACCTGGAAGCTTCTTCCACTTCTCCATTCTTCTCCGTGCTCTTTACTATTCCACTACTGGCCTTTTCAGTCACCCTGCTTTTTCTCT